ACAAGGTGAAGTTACTCAGTTTACATAAGAATAGTGCCCCTGGAGTTACATGACATATCAACCCCATAGGAAATCAATAAAAATTGTTTGACTTGAATAAAACAAAATGTTTTGCCATACTATTTTAAGTACACCTCTGTAAGTAATCTCTAAAATATGTCTAGTATTTGAGGAACACTTGGCGAGTTTAGGGACCCATAGACCAAAGAAAGATATTTATAACAGCTCTTGGATTGTAGGTTTAAAACTACCCTACCTACACCACCATAAATACCACTTACCAACCAAACAAAGTATTTTGAATTCCACTGGAGGTGGGCAAATTGGCTATGTTTGGGGAGTCTATATAATCACTATTTTCCTACAAGATAATTGAACAGTTAGTGTTATTTAAAGTAGTCTTGGAAGAATTCCCAGTTTCACTGTAGGAAAAGAGTTTATATCTTGGGATTGGGTTTTGTTTTAAGAATCAGCACACAGGAACCATTCATTCAGCTCTTTTGTGTGGTTGAGATTAAACTCATTGCTTCAAAGAAGTTTTGCCTTATTTCAACAGAGTTTACCCACCAACACATCCTACTCCTCGCCGTTCTAACATTTTGTCCTGATGCATCTATTCCTGCTACAGCTGATTGCGTAAACATTTACAGATACTTATACCAGACTCCCCCACTTCCTGCTTGTTCATTCAAGAATGCTGCAATTCCCTGGCAGTGGCCTCAGGCAGTGTCATAGACTCTCCTCCTTAGAATGAGTTGTGAGACACCAGACTTCACCAAGGCCTCACGGTGGGAAGAGGAGACTCTGCTGGGACCTTTCAGTGAAGGGTGTGTCCAGTGGCTTTGGAAACCTCCAGAGTCACTATCATGACTGCTTTTATTTATTTGTCTTTTAAATTAATTAATTAATTTTAATTAGGTATATATGACAGCTGAATGCATTTTGATTCATTGTGCACAATTGTAGCACAACTTTTCATTTCTCTGGTTGTACACCATGTAGCGTCACACCACATTTGCAATCATACATGTACCTAGGGTAATGATATCCATCTCATTCCACCATTTTTCCTGCCCCCATGCACCATCCCCAACCCTCCCTCCCCTTTGTCCAGTCAAAGTTCCTCCATATTTTCCATGCACCTTCCACCCCATTGTGTATCAGCATCCACTTATCAGAAAGAATATTCCGTCTTTGTTTTTTTAGGGATTGGCTTACTTCACTTAGCATGATATTCTCCACTCCATCCATTTACCTGCTAATGCCATAATTTAGATGCCCTTCAATAGGTGAATGGATAAAGAAACTGTGGTATATATATACAATGGAATGTTACTCAGCATTAAAAGAGAATAAATTTATGGAGGCTACTTTTAATGGGCTACATAATATTTAAGGGACAAGTTGTGTATGGTGACACCCTTGATCTTTAATAGTCACTGGAATAGCCTGGTTTTCCACTGTTTCCTGTGGTCCTGTGTTAAGAGTTTATGGTACCATGATACTGTCAGAAATTTATTCCTACTTATTTGAATTCTTTCAGAGAATTTCAAGAGCTTTCCCATCCTCCTTGCTAAATGGCACACATTGTACAAATTCTTGCCTTTCTCCTAGTCCTGTCTGATTAACTTAAAAGGGCCATGATTCTCATAGTGGAGTGGTGATGTCATAGCCTCTGGAAGTTCAAGGTTACCAGATCCTGAGTTTCTGGGTGAGGTGGGGAGAGTTGAGAAGGGCAGTACCCAGGAAATGCTTGGTGCACAGGAAACAGCCAATGCAGTATAAGTCACCAGTGGAGCAGTCTTACTGCTGGGGTCCTTAGGAACAAAATGCTTAAGTCTCCCATCAGAAACACTTGACTTTTGTTTCTCAGTGTGTGTCTCTTTGGTTGTGGTGAGGACGATGGAAAGGTAGTCACCTGAATTATCACATTTGTTATTTTCAGAATGTATCCTGTCTTTATCTGCCATTGAAAACTGTAGCCTGGGTCCCACTATGTGGATGAGCCCTCACAGGGTGGCCCTAGCAGGTATCTGGTCTGCAACCCCCTTCTATGCCACCCAGCCACATATTCAGGCTCAGTAAGTGTGGCCTGACTGTCCTTCCTGGTTTCTACTCCATGCTAAGTTCTAGAATCCAGCTCCTCTGTTCAGATTGGTTTCCCTCTCTGGGCCCTCTGTCAGGCCTCCATGCAGCCAAGAGAAAGAAGAGCCTAAAAGATTAGGAATTTGGGCTTCAGAACTGGGCATACTTGGCTGTCACTAGCCATTTGATCATGAATAAGTTGCTTGTCTCTTCCTGTCTCAGTGGTTGCACCCATAAAATGGAGATATAATTTCAGACTTACTTTGCAGACTAAATCAAATAATGTTTGGAAAGCCTTGCACCCACTACAAAATGTTGTAAAATTTGCTGTAATTAATAGGAAGTCCCAGCATCACAAGGGGCAGAGTCACACTTCTTTCTATAAGTTGCTATTTTCTTCCCTACACATACATCATAGTCAGCTTTTGTCAAAAACAAAAACAAAAAACTCAACTAACTTTGCTGCATAGTAGATATGTGGAGGCCGAATCAGGAACAGCTGTCAGAACAGTAATGCTGTGTACCTTCCACTTGACTGGGTTGATTTTTTTTCACCTCTTTTTAAAAATGTTTTGACTTCACTTGGGAGGGGGAAAGGTCATCACCTGAATTATCACACTTGCTATTTCTGGAATATATCCTGTCCTTACCTGTCATTGCAAATTGTAGCCTGGGCCCCACCATGTGATGAGCTCTCACAGGGTGGTCCTGGCACATAGGATAGATAGATAGATAGATAGATAGGATGTAAATTACAACAGAATTAAGGATTTTCTACTTTACCTCAACCAACACAAAGTTCCTAATAGTGGAGAATCATTTATTTATTGGTATATTTTTTCATTCATTGGATCCAACGGTAGTTATTCAGTCCTGTAGTCACAGAATGCCCAACCCTTTATACCTTTCATTTCTGATGAGGGATTTAATCCTCAGAATTGGAGGGGCCAGAGGGACTTCCTGGAGGAAGTAGTGTCTAACAAGAGACCTAACTATTGAGTAGAACTTACCAGGCGGAAGACAGCATGTGTGAAGGTTTGGAAGCAAGAGAGAACCTGATGTGGAGGACCTGAATTCAATATTCTTAAAACATCAGAGCTTCAGGAAGGTGCAGGGAAGACACGGGGTTGGAGAAGAAAGCAAGAGGCCATTCTCTCTCCTTGGTACACTTCAGCATATGCCCAGCACACAGTCAGAGGAACGCTGTGCAGCTCCACCATCAACAGACCCTGAGCAAGAATACTGAGCTGCTGGAAAAGAGTTTTCACAGCGCAGAGACTTTATGAGATTCCTGGTTTCCTCCAAATGGTCATGACTTTGAAGAATACCAGATATGCTCTCACATGCATTCCAAGCCCTGCCACTGAGTCCCTTCCTCCACCAAAGTGAATGTGGAAATTTGATAACATCCAGCATGAAGATTTCTATCTTTCTCAAAAATCTTAAAACTATATGCCTGGGACTGTTGTAATCTTGACCATGGGTAATATTTTAATAGATAAATTATGCAAAATTGTTTCCTCAGAAGACAAATATGTTTCAGTTCTAACCTATTCAAATTTAATTGAATTGAAGTATCCAAGAATGTTCTGTGATTTTATGAGATGAGCAAGGCAAGAAGCTTATGACCAAACTGAAGCTATCTCTCACCCTTGAATGTTCTTTTTTTTTTTTTTTTTTTTTGCATCCTTTGACCATTTAAAAGTGTATTCCACAAGGGAGCTAAGTTTTATCTTTCAGTTCATCCATATGATATTTTACTTGTCATGTATTTTGAGCAGGTTTACTAGCTTTTTGAAAAAAAAAAAAAAACTTCTATAGCACTTAGGATGGGGACCATGTTTAAATGTTACTGACAAATTATTCAGAAGGCTCATGAAAGAATTTAAATTTCATAGATAACCTAATTATTCCCAGCTTTAACAAAAATAAAAACATTGAAGCAAATTATGCTTTCTTAGTAACTAAATGAACAATTAACCTGTTATAGTTTTCTAAATATCAAAATATTACATGGGCTCTTTCTGTCCAATTATCTGTTGTCAGAAACATCAAGTGAGGGTTTCTGGAGGGAAACACACTACTCTCTAGTTGGAGAAGCTCTGCAGGAAGTGAAACTAACCAAAGGGAGGATGTGAGCACCAGCTTCATCCTGCATTCTAGATATACACACTTTGTTAGAGTAGACCCCCATGATACATTTGTTCTGTGTTTTTGCTAAATATCCCATTATAAATAAGCATGAAATCACCTAGATAATTCCTTAGCTCCCTAAATCAGCTAACATACAACAGAGCTTAGGGTGTATAAAAACTCAACCAATGTTAGTTGTTGCTCTTAGATTTTAACGTGATTTCATTCTTGAGAGCTCTGCTAACTGATATGGCTGCTTCTATCACATGTGGCTGTTTGGTATTTAAATGTTACTTGTCCATATTGAGATGTGCTCCAAGTAGAGAATGCACACTGAACACCAAAGACTTAGCAAGGGGGGAAAAAAAGAACAAAAAATAACTCATTCATAATTTTTTATAGTGACATGTGCATATTGGATTAAGTAAAATAGAGTATTAATTCACTTGATTTTTAAAAATCCTATTATCATACTACTACTAGAAAATTTGAAATGACCTATGTGCTCACATTTTGTGGCTTGCATTGTGTGTCTCTTAGAGATCTCCCCTGAGGAGAGACCTCTTAGGTGAGTCTTAAAGCAACCATATTGCACACATTCATTAAGGATCTTGAGTGGCTAAGAAGAAAGAAAGCAGCTCAAATTATAGCGAATGTGAATCGATATAAAAATTAAAATTAAGTGGTTTTATTTTTGTTTTGTTTTTACTGATTTGTGGTCAGTTTTATCTGTAAGAAAATAAATGTGTTATGATTACTGAAAAACAAAACCCTGTTTCTAGGTTACTGGTTGGTTCACCCTGGAGTGGTTTTCCTAAAAACCGAATGGGAGATGTGTACAAATGCCCTGTTGACCTGTCCACCGCTACCTGTGAAAAACTGAATTTGCAAAGTAAGTTGTAATTAGCAAAGTTATTCTTCATAAACAGAAAAATATTCATCATAGACTCAACTGAAAAATGACAGCAAAAACAATCATTGTTCTGCCTTAAAGAAAAGTGGGCAGCTTTAGACCTTTATCTCTTCAGTCAGGTAAGGCCCAACTGAATCCAAATTTCCAAAACAGTTTGAAGACCTAATTTAACAGTATGCATCCAAAATGTACAAGCACCTCCTGGATCATTTATCCCAGACCATAGACAAGTTTCCTTCAATATTTAGGATTATATTGCTGATTACTTTTGGAATCAGCAATATAATCCTAAACTCTCCATATCTCTCTCCCTCCTCTTTCCAAAACAAGCCATTCAGTATGGCAACATCAGTTCTAGGGTTGTTGGGAGGTTCCAAGAAAAACCCTGTTGTTATTTATGTCTAAGTGATTGCATTCTAATAGAAAACTCACAATATGGAATTGTTTGTTGTTTTAACTCTCCGTATCTCAGATGCTTTCTAATATTAAAAAAAAAAAAAACATTGAAAATGCAAGGCTACAAAAGTAAATGAGTGGGCTGGGGATACAGCTCAGTTCGTGCTTACCTCACATGCAGAAGGCCCTGGGTTCAATCCCCAGCACCACAAAAATAAATAAAAAATAAATGTAAATGACTGATATTTCCAGACAATAGTTTCTGAAGCAAGTAAAAGCCACTCAATTTGATCATGATCGTGTTAGCAGCAGCATCAAAACAACAAAAACAGCACAGAGGAACATAGAGTTGTCCTGGAGGATTAAGGGATGAAATGAGAAAATAAAGTGTTATGAAAACCAAGGGAAAGAAGTTTCTCAAGTAAGATTGAGAAGCAAGGGTGGGTGGGTTTCTTACACATCTGTGTTTATCTAATTTCTAGTGTAATTTATAGAACATAGTAGGGACTTCAATGAACATATCTCCAGCGAAGTGGGAGGGGTATCAGTGGTGTCAATACTTCAGAAGTAAAAAAGGACTGAGGACTCAGGAAACACCTTCTGCTTACTTAAGGAGGTTGTGGCTCGTGAAGATCAAGGATCTCCAAGCATTTTGAACACTTGTGATACTTGTATTTTTTAATAATCAAAATATATACATTATTAATGAGTTTTAAAAGATTTTATTATATAGTTAAATAGTTTAAGTATATCACCTTTAATGTGTCAATCACCCTTTACCCTTAACTTTGGAACACTTAGCCCTGATGTGTATGTTTAATATGCTTTCAAGCTACACACATGTACTGACATTTTATCTTAATAATGCATTTACCTAAAAAATACATTTAAAGCATAAAAATATACATTCAAAAAATTCCACTATTTTCTTTCTGTACTACAGCAAATTAATTATAATTAATATATATTAATATATTAATATATATTAATTATATTCTGTATGCCTCCTTCACCTAGACTATAAATCCAGTAACACTGAGGGGAGAAACAGATAAAGAATTTAGGAATGGATGAGTAGTGGACCAAGACTAGGTGAAAGTTAACCTGCTTTTCAGGAGGTGATCACAGAAGGATCACTGGGAAAAGCAGTTCTACAGGATAGCAAGATTGAAAGATCCTTGGAGTAAAAAAGAGATGCTCTTATTTGTAGGAGAGTGTCAGGAGGTAGCAAAAGGGAAATGATTATTATTTAGAAATATAGTTAATTGAGTGGGATAAATGGTACTTGGGGAAATGAGTCTTAGAATGCTTTCTTCTCTAAGCAGGAGGGGGAAAGTAGGAGTTCTAGGATGATCCTGTGTAAGAATGAAGAAAAATGGAAGTTACCCTGCAGGTGTGATTCCTCCTCTCTGTAGTAGACAGGTTATTCACTGAGAGTGGCAGGATGGGGCTTGAAGTTGGAGGCTCCAGAAGATAGGAGAGGCTTTGCAACAGTCACCTGGGAAATAAGGAAAGAATCTTGTCGGGAACCGCTCTGGATAGAAGCTATGTGCACACCTTTAAGTCCTGAGTAAAGGGGTACTGAACAGTTATTGCACCCCGCAAAACATTGGACTTCACCTCTGCTCGGATAATGAGGTGTGGCTCCAGGAGTTGGGGTCACCAGGTGGGGTTGAGTTACACCCACCTATTCCTTTGTAATCCTACTCCTTGACCTTTTTTGGATAGAATGTTCCATGGAATAGCACCCCCAATAAAAGGTGAGCTTCAGAACGTGCCCCCTCTCTCTCTCATCAGCCTCTGGTGTCTTTCTCTTGTCCCACTTTGTGGGAGCCTGAGGCCGGAGCCGGGGAAACCGTCCTGAATCTCAGAATAAGATATTCCATGTTTGCGTAGTCTTTTTGTGTCACCCCAAATTCCCTCGAGTGACTGTGGTTCAGTAGCGCACTCTGGATAGAGGCTACAGAATCCGACTAAGATTAAATGAAAGTGGTAAAGATGGCTTAGCCAAGATTGAAGAACATAAGCAATGGACATTATTATAGACCATTGCAAAGTTCAATACTTCAAAACTGGATCCAACAGGTGATGCCTTAGTTCAGACAGAGAGAAGAGGTTAGAGAGATTCATTTATTATTTTACCTGTCTCACGATTTTCTTTAAAAATTCACCCACTCCTTCGAGCCAAATTCTATCAAATGGCATTCTCTGATAACACTTTAAGGATATTTTAACTTTCCAGAAAGAAAAAATAAATAAATATATTTATATATTTTTATATATATTTAATATATTTATATTAATATATTTATATATATGACTTTGGAAAGGTAGACTTGGCGCATGAACAAATGATATTCTCGAGTGTATTTTGTTTAGTCAGAAGATTGTTTGTAAAACAGTTGGATTTAAAAAGCCCTCCCTGATAGCCTTCAGTCTCACACACTAAAATAAGCTGTCAGAGCTCCAAAGGATTCTCATTTCCTACATTTCATTACACAAACTCTGGACATATGATACTAAATCCAATACTACATGTAAACAAGGGTGTGCCTTTTTTGAATAATCTTAAGTAAATGTAAAGATTTAATCACTTTTTAAAAAATTTATTTCCCTCTAAAAGCTTCAACAAGAATACCAAATGTTACTGAGATAAAAACCAACATGAACCTTGGCTTGACCCTCAAACGGAACATGGGAACTGGAGGGTTTCTTGTAAGTATTTACTTCTCAGATCCTCTTTCCTCTTGAAAAAGTTTGTAGTCAGTGTCTTCTCACCATCCCCCACCATCAAGTCAAGTCTTCAGATTTAAACAGCAGAGCTTGCTTTTGGATCAGTTATGCTATTTGAATATCCAGTGCAAATAACAGTCTGTTGATGTGTGAACCTCTTAGTCAACAAAACCATTATCACAGGATGTTTTTTTTTTTTTTTTTTTTTAAATGGATTTTCCCCCCTTGATTCCTTACCCTTGGTATATATGCTTAGTACTCAATGATAACATCAAAATCCCACGTCTCATTTCTGCTTTCTAAAAGAACCTTCAAGTTTAGTGCTATTAATTCAGAGAGTAGGTTTCAAAGCTAATGAATATTTTTGTTTTCAATCGTTTACTATTGGTTGGCTTATCTGATAATACTTAAAGAATGGTATACTTTTTATCATATTTTATGTCTTATTTGGTTTCTAAAATGCTATGAAAAATATCACTTATCAGTAAAATAAAATGTCATTTTAGGGCTGGGGCTGTAGCTCAGTGGCAGAGTGCTTGCCTAGCATGCATGAGGCACTGGATTTGATCCTCAGCACATCATAAAAATAAATAAATAAGGGATCTGGGTTGTGGCTCAGTGGTAGAGTGCTTGGCTAGCATGTGTGACTGAGTTCAATCCTCAACACCTCATATAAATAAATAAAGGTCCATCACCTCCTAATAAAATATTTTACAATAAACAAACAAACAAAAAAGAAGGCATCCTGTCCATCTACAACTACCAAATTTTTTTTTTAAATGTCTTTTTAACAAGTGGTCTGATGACAACTAACTAGTTAATAACTTTAATATACCAAAGGAAAAAAAAAACCTATCAAGTGACTTTAAAGAGTTAATATTAAAGAAAAACTAGAAGAAAATGGAAATTTTCTTTAATGGGAATTTTTTGAAGGAGAGAATTTCTGAGCTTAGCACTAATGAAGAAATATCATAGAAAATTGTTGAGAATATTTAATTATATAAAAATTTAAAATAACACATACAAAAAAAGTAGAAAGGAAAATAAAAAGTCAATCTTATTTGAAATTTCTGCTTTCTCATATAAGGATAACCTACTTGCTTAGCCCAGTTAAAGTTGTTTTTGAAAGCCTAATTTAAATTTACATTAATATTTTTAATGCCATAACTTGCTAACTTAAAAGCCTGCTTTATACTTGTATTATTCTAAAAATGTAACCAATTTTGAACAATGTCATTCTATTTGTAATGATAGATATTAGTTCTCTACCATCTTTGCTACCACTAAGTAAATTAAATGTTGCTTATAATAATGTATTACAACTGTACATAAATAATATTGCAGTGCATCTCCATGGTTTATGATATTCTAAAATCTTTATCATATGGCTGTTTTCATATTTTTGTTTCTTTTCTTTGTTTTTCAGGTTGAGTTAGTCAGAAAGAGGAACATATTGAGAATCAGGGATTATAGAATGTGCTTCAAATTTTTAAAAAAAATTTTTCATCTGTGACTCCAGATAAAGTAAAAGTGAAAGATAATCTAAGAGAGTAATCGAACAGTCGATGTAAAAACCAGCAATGCAGAGATGCAGAGAGAGAGGAGGAGAGAGAAGGGAGAGACAAGATTGATCAAAGTTTTTCTTATATACCTGATAGGTCAAAATTATAAGAAACTCTTCAGAATTACATGGAAAAAAACTGACGATAGTCATTTTTTTTTAAACTTCTTAAATTCTGGGCTTAAAGCAAGAATGTTCTGGCATTAACAATTGGCATATTTTAATTTCAACTTCTTATACTGTTTTCCAGTGCTCATGAAAGAAAAAAAAAATCCGTTCTTGAGTACATCATAAGCTATTTTGCAAGGTGATTTTTAAAAAATGCTTTAGAATGCAGATAAGAATCAATAATTGGTATCTGTTATTTCATAAATTAGTCAGAAACATTGATAATGACTTTTTTTCTAACAAGTTGGCAAAATGAACCAGTTTTATAGAAAGAAAACTATGCCTTATTCATTGAGCATGAAATATGACCACAGCTGCTTCTATTATGCTACGAACAGTTAAACTGGGTCAAATAAATTTCCTTTTGTTTTTCCAATTGCTTCTTCAAGTCCACACTTTTCTGTTCAGTTTTAATAAATGATCCTCCCATAAGATCAACACTTTGCATAAACTTTACATATCACCCACAGCTTTACATAATACTAAATTTTGTAAAAAATTTTAGGATCTTGGCTACACTTCTCATTTCTTCTTTTCTCCTTTTTCATCTGCTGATTTTAATATTATTTAATATAATGTTTCCCATATGCTCTAATCATGATTGAATCAGAAGTTCCTGGCATTTATTAAAGGTCTGATGCAAAGGAGAGAATGGGGATTCTGTTGATGGAGATTTTAGGAACTGAAATGTGGATGATAAGGGCAAGGAGACAAGTGTCAGTCAGCTTTGGTGACAAGATAAATTAGAAAATGGAAATAAGGAAATTGGAAGATCTAAAAGTAAATAAATACTTAAGAGCAAAGGAAAAAAAATCACCTTTCAGTCCTTAAACCTCATTTGTGTTTGGTTAACAGAGTGTTTTTTTAAATTGTGAATTTTCATGCAAAAATTTCCCTCTATGACTCTCAGGAAAACAGAAAACTCTCTTTCACAGCAACGATGGGAGGACACAGTAGCTAGCCTGTCCCTGGATATAAGAAATAGGTTCTTCATGGTTTCAGTTGTCTCTATCTGGCCCAGCCACTCTTCCAGGGTTCCATCTGGCTCTCAGAGGCACTTGGCCTTATGGTTTCTGTAGTCTGATTGGAAGGGATAGGAGTAAATTGATGATCCATCATTCACACTAAAGATGCTAGCCAACAGGTACAGAGTGCTTGCTGTTTCCCTGCACTGTAAAGTGTTTTAAATCTGCAGACCATACTCTTCAAACAATCTGGACAAGAGATAAGGTTATGCTAATTTTATAGATGAGGCCCAAGTAACTGAGACATAAAAAATCAACTTTGCACTACTGATTCTGGGTGTTCTCTAGCATAGTTGGGGGACCTCTTGGGCTCCCCTTCACTGACACCTGCCCCTGACAGTACCAATAATTCTTCTTCTTACTGAGCTGCCACTGGACACAGAAGGTCTGCCACTTTCTTCTCCATCACTTCTGCCCTCTCCAGTTTTTCATCTGTTAAAGAACTGAAAATCCCCAGAATCTTGGAAAAGAATAGAAACAATTCCTTAGTTCCAAAATGGGGCAGTAGAAGGTTAGCATTTTCCATGTGTTTCCATTTATCATTTTCTCATTTCTTTGAAGACATGTGGTCCCCTGTGGGCACAGCAGTGTGGAAATCAGTATTATACAACTGGTATGTGTTCTGACGTCAGTCCTGATTTTCAGCTCTCAGCCAGCTTCTCACCTGCAGTTCAGAGTAAGTTATAAATGTGTGAAAGATATGAACAAGGCTTTTCATTTAGAGGAGGGGGGAGGTTATCAAGTCCTACCCAATCCCTCCATAAGTCTAATTTTTACATGGGTATGAAACTTGACTTATCTATGGAAATCTGCTTCTTCCATCTTTTCTAGCCTGCCCTTCCTTAATAGATGTTGTGGTTGTGTGTGATGAATCAAACAGTATTTATCCATGGGATGCAGTAAAGAATTTTTTGGAAAAATTTGTGCAAGGCCTAGATATAGGCCCCAAGAAGACACAGGTATGCATATCAGTAAACTAACCCATAGCTTTCTTTATGAGAGAAAAATGACAGATATGAAGTCTTAATATTTGCATATGCCAAATCTCCATATTAAATGCATTAAATGTTAATCTTGAAAGTTAATTGAAATTTGAACTACTGTAAGTTATTCTTCTCCCTATCACTCTGTCCAATGCTGTTGACCTTAGAGTTTTGTGACACAGGTATCAAGACTTTGGGAAGTAACATTTTATTCTCTTTCAGGGGCCTATTTTAACCTCTCTAACCCATGAGTTTATGAATACATGCATATGTCTTATTTATTCATGTCTGTATTAATAATGAATTTATTATGTTTATTCCTTGCTGTATACTCTTTGAATTATGGAAATTTTAGAAATAAGTCACTAAGGGCAATTCTACCATCTCTTATTTTATATTCTTTTATTGTTTTCTAGTCTAGCCAGTATTTTTTTTTTGAAACATAAGACTAAATCTTTTCAATATTTTGATATAGCTCTCTATGTCTTTAGAAGCTTTCAATTTGCTTTTACATCTTCTCAGGACAGGCAACCCAAATTCAGGAGCAGAAGTTCCATGATCTTGTAAGGAGACTGAAGAGCATTTATGTTAAAAGTGCTACTTATAATTTCAGCTACTCAGGAAGCTGAGGCAAGATTATCCCTTAATCCTAGGAGTTCAAAAAAAGTTTCATTTCTGTTTTTTCTTTTTCTTCTTTTTTCCCCCTCATTTTTGTTTGGCTCTGCCATTTATTCTAGTTTTTACAGCCCAGTGAACCAACCCCAGCAGAGAGCTGTTCACATAGGTACCAGTTATGTTCTTGGGTTGCATCTGATACCCCAGTATCCAACATCTAGTAAAAATTTTGAAATATTTTCCTCCATAGGCATTGCATCTGTTTTTATTGAAATCTGCTTTTCCACTTCCCTATGCAGCATTATAAAATATTGATGTTACTTTATACCACCAAGAGTACATTAATGCCTGCTGAGACCTTGGAAGTTTCACTGTGAGCTTTTACCAGAAATTTGTGTTAACCTAGACTAAGTATAGCACAGATTCCTGGAGAGAAACACTGTCAAAGTCTCATATGAATGCATCTTGCCTCAGATGCATTCAAAGTCTCAATGAATCTTATTCCTCTCGAGGAGAGGTATAACCCAGTCTCGTTTCTCACAAATGAAATTGGGCCTTTCTATAAGATCTAATATACAACATGTGTTTTAATCCCCTTCCCTATTCTCACTTAGAATGTTGGGGCTGTCGAGAGGGTTACTGCGCCACCATCAACCTCTCATATCAGACTTTGAAATCCTCCATTATTTTTTATCCTTCCCTTCCTTTCAAACCATACATCCTTTTCCTAAAGAAAGAGGTCCAAGAATATATTTATCATCATGCTCATGGGGCCCAGCATCCCCTCTCCCAGGCAAAAAATCCCTGATTGAACTCAGAAATCCAGGCCTCCCTCCTTCTATCTTCCTTACATAATGACCTCAGAGAGACTTTCAGGGAGCCTCTTTCCACTGATCCCTATTTCTCTGATTTCTATTTCTTGTTCATAAAACCCCATCTTTCAGTTTAGATAGTGATTCCAATGCCGAAAATGAGGGCATTAATAGAAGTGTGTGACCTCCTTGAACCCAAAGATTGAAAAGAATGTCCCCAAACATCTCGTTCAGAAGTCTCCTTTCTTTCATCTCTCTCCAATAAGATTTCCCTAATGGTATTTTCCCTTGAAATCGGCCCAAAATTCTCTGTTCCATATGCATAGCCAACAACTTTCCCCCATATGTGTCAAAACTGAAATCCAGTGCAGTAAATAAATCTAAATTGACTCCATACCTTAGGGGTACACTAACTTATCTTGTATTCAACTCTGATTTTTTTATAGCATGATTATCCTCAAATGATGTAGTGTTGCCTTGTCTATGATTGATTATAGTTGTTTGGAAGTCTATGTCTGCTGATAATTACAAAGTTTGTTTCTATCTATTTTAATCTTCCTGTTTTAACATTATTCTAATATTCATCCATATTAATAGCATAGGGTCATGCATTAAAAATCTTTATGGTTTGTCACCAACTGTCCTAGTTGGCGACCTAATGCTGGGTCCACAAAATCTGACTATTCCAATAACTCAAGAAACGACAAAGAAAGCATGCAACCACACAGAAATACCCCTTTCAATATTCCAGAGACGGCTCTGTGACCTTATGGTCCTTGGAAAGAGAGAGAGCCACCAGAATTCTTTATTCTTATATAGGGAACACACAAGGGGAGGTTCCATGGAACATTCTATCCCCAAAAGGGCAAAGGGATATGACTACAAAGGAATAGGTGAGAGTAGCTCAACCCTCCCAGGTGATGCATACACTGGAGCCAGGCCTTGCTATCCAAGCTGGGACAAAGCTCAAGTCACTATGAAATATGGTGATTGGCTCTAGAGCCTCCTGCTCCAGGACTGGAAGGCATGGTCATTCAGAGTGGCTCCCCATAATGGTTAAATCTAGATAACCAAGTCATAATCCACAGCACATTCTGTTGCTTGGCAATCCGTACGACTGTTATACACAGACATCATTCCATCCAAAGAAAAATAACTGCCAAGAAAAAAATTTGAAGTGGTTCCCTTAAGCCACGGATACATGTCTAAATGCGTTTTTTACTTTTATTATACTGGTCATATAGAAATTGTTTATTATGTGATGACAGTCCATTAACAAAATTCTGCTCTTTTGAAGGTGGGGTTAATTCAATATGCCAACAATCCAAGAGTTGTGTTTAACCTGAATACTTTTGCGACCAAAGATGAAATGATTGCAGCAACATCCCAGACATCCCAGTATGGTGGGGACCTCACAAACACCTTCAAAGCAATTCAGTTTGCAAGGTAAGTTTTATTGCCAAAACACCACTATTCTGACAATATAAAAGTGCTGAGAAGTAAGAAAAAGGAAATAAAAGACAAAAGAAAAGTAATATGTCTGGAACCCACAGTTAAATCGGGCTAATAAACAAAAGTCTCCACATTCTATAATTTGAGTACTTTGAGAAGACACTTAGAAAATAAGGTTAAAATCTTTGATTCTGAGATTTTTTTTTTTTTCTGGTACCAAGGATTGAACTCAAGGGCATTTGATCACTGAGCCACATCCCAAGCCCTATTTTAGAAATAGGTTCTCACTGAGTTGCTTGGCGCCTTGATTTTGCTGAGGCTGACTTTGAACTTCCAATCCTCCTGCCTCAGCTTCCCGAGCCACTGGGATTACAAGCATGCACCATCGGGCCCAGCTCAATTCTGGGATTTTTATAAGATGATTTTTCATGAATTAAATTTTCATTTAAATTTTTATTCTGTTATTAAATTTTATTTTATTATTAAATTTTAAATTTTGCAACAATTAAATTTTTATTTTATAATTTTTCATGAATTAAATGAAACAAGATCTTAGCTTAAAATGCCAGCATCATTATTTGTTAATATTTATCATAAATTTTTACTAATTAAGTTTATGAAGCACTTCATGCAAATTAACAAGAGCTGTAGAATCTTAAACATATGAACCAAATCACATGGTTCATTATATATATATATATATATATATATATATATATATATATATATACATATATAATCTGTGGGAAGTGTGGGTTTTACACTATGCAGTGTTTTTCTCATTCTTATGTCAGTTTCTATATTTTTCCAGGTCCATGACCTTCACCTTTACTGATTTAATCAGATTCCTTTACAAAAATCCTAAGTACTGCCCTGTTGTTAAAAAAAAAAAAAAAATGAGAACAATACCCATGCCTTTCCTTAAGCCTCCTTCCTGCCTTTTCATCTCGTGCATAGCTTCTTCCTGATACCAGAATTCCATTTAAACAGGGTCTGTACCCTCTCCTTCCACTTTCTTGAAACCTAGCTCTTCCCCTAGCTATGCAGGCCTCTAAGCCACCCCTCAAGCCTCATCCTCTTGGATTCCCTTGAGCATGTGATAAGGATGAACCTACTCTACTGTTCTGAAACACTTGTCATGACATGGCCAAAATCTGGATCCCTGACAACTTTTTGAGAACAACTTTTGCCTAGTCACTGGCTTATTTTTCTTCTTTAAACAGAGCCCTTCCTTCCGTATAGCCCTTCCTCTTAGGAATTGCGTCCCCTCCTGTGGTGTCAGCATCAGCTCTCTTGATGTCACCCCACTGCTGAGCAGTAATTCCTGAATTTTCCTCCCAAAGCCACATGGGCATCAGGCTGATGCTGAATACCTTATTTGGAGTGTCAACTCACTTATCAAATTCAGCATGTGCTAAATTGGTCATTCCTTCCCCAGTACTCCTCATGACGCTGTCTTTTTGATTCATGTCACAGTCTATTTGCTCAGTCACTCAAAAACTTGATGTTTTTCTGTATTTCTATTCCTTCTTAGATCAAACGTCTGGTCAGTCACCACATCCTGTCATTTCTATTTCTGCACTTCCCATTACATCTGTCCTTTCTTTTCTTCTCTCTTTTTTTCCCCCTCTCTGTGTGTATATTTTAGTTGCTGCTTCTAGTAGTGGGTGACTCTCTGTATCTATCTCAAAATCAGATTCCCTATAAGGGAAGATATGATTGATGGGTTTAATCTTTCTTGTCTCTATTAAGATGTCCTGTAGGGCCAGGTCATCTCGTCAACTGCTGGCCAGTCAATAGGGTCAGCTGCCATAAGGTCAAGTGCCTTTTCTGATCCAGACTGAGGGGAAGACTTGGTTGATACAAAATGGCCTCGTTAGAGTTAGAAACTGCCGAGGGTCCCTGTTTTCATCACGAAATAGAGGTGTGGCACTTTTCCATGGTAGGCATCCGGGGCCCTGAAAAACTTTCCTCTCCAAGATAATGGTCACTGTCTACTCAGATGAAACTTGTACAGTTTTAATCATCTTTTCAAAACTTGGGTTTTCTTCCCTGTGCCACCATTATTTCTCGAGCTATGAGAATTTAATTCTCCTGTTGCCAGGAGAATCACCCAGTTTCCTGTACCACCCAAAATGTAATTAGCTCTGTTTCTCTCCTCTTTCTCTCTCTGTCTCTGTCTCTCTCTTTCCCTCTCTCTCTTTCTTTAAAACACTGAATAGAATTTTGGCACTTTTTTGCATTAAGTGCTGTCCTGTTTCCTTCACCTTATTTCACTGTCTGTCATTGCAATGTATTGTCACAGGCATTGCAGGTCATCAAAACTAAACAAGGCCCAGTTTCTCTTCTTAAAATCTTCACTCATACTTGTGATCTAGACTATGTCCTAGAAGATATACTTCACTCAAAAAGTTTGGATGTGTAAAACTGTAATTCAAATTTATCTAGCTGAAAACTATGGAACAGTTTTCTACTTTTTTATATTCTATAAAATAGAGTACACAAAATATTTTAGGAAATAAAATGATATGCTTCATTTTAAAATATCAAGAACTTGAAGAACTTCTTACACATTCAGGTAAAAATATGCAGCACACATTGAATATGTAAATTTGAAGATGGAAGAGATGAATTGAGGACAGATACAGGTGTTAAAGTATCATTAGATAAATGGTAGTTTATCCAAAGGAGTAGGTAAAATTATATAGAAAAAAAAAATGTGTAGCAAGATGGTCCATTTGACAGAGAGAAATAGGTTATATTGAGCTAGTTAATCACCTAAAAACAAAATAAAGCTAAAAACCTGCCTTGCTCCTTGCATCAAAATAGATTTCAGATTGACCAAAAATTTAAATCTAAGAAAATGGAACCATTTTAAACAATTATAGAAGTTGAGTGATTTAGTTGGGTGCCATGATGCACACCTGTAATCCCAGCAGCTCAGGAGGCTGAGACAGGAGGATCTCAAGATTAAAGCCAGCCTTAGCAAAAGAGAGGCAGTAAGCAACTCAGTGAGACCCTGTCTCTAAATAAAATACAAAATAGGGCTGGGGATGTGGCTCAGTGGTTGAGTGCCTCTGAGTTGAATCAATTTCTAGTACCAGAAAAAAAAAAAAAAGCTTTATACATGAGTAGTCTGTAAAATACCATGTCAAATATGAAAAATACAAAGAAAAGGGTTAATGGATTAAAATTGAAAAAATATCAATGAACTGAATAAATTATTTGAAATACATACAGGCTGGATTTTAATTTTAAACCAGAGATCTACATATTAACTTCATCTTTTGATAACGAGTCTTTAATTTTATCGGCCACAGAGATTTTGCTTATTCAGCAGCTTCTGGTGGACGACCAAGAGCTACCAAAGTAATGGTGGTTGTGACTGATGGGGAGTCCCATGATGGTTCAATGCTGAAGGATGTGATTGAGCAATGCAACAACGACAATATACTGAGATTTGGCATAGCAGTAGGTGGCTTTTCTTTTCATGTGTTTTGTAGTTGATGGATAAATGTTCCTTTATACCAGCATTTTCTTATTGACTGTTCAAAGTTTATTATTTAAAAAAGTTTTTACTGTCTCTCTGCTCCTTGCTATTTTCAGTCTTGTCGACTAAATAAATGGGTGTAGAAATGTTGCTTGATTTACTTCTTCAGAAGGTCTTTGGTGTTGGGAAGTAGGCTAGAAGCTGTTAACAGGAAACATGGAGAACAACGGGAATGACTTTTTTCCTTCTTCCTCTATTTTCAAGGTTCTTGGGTATTTAAACAGAAATGCCCTTGATACTAAAAATTTAATAAAAGAAATCAAAGCCATTGCTAGTGTTCCAACAGAAAGATACTTTTTCAATGTGTCTGATGAAGCAGCTCTTCTGGAAAAGGCCGGGACATTAGGAGAACAAATTTTCGGCATTGAAGGTAAAAGAGCTCCTTTTAAGAATTTTCTTCCAAAACTTTTTGAAATTTTTATTGTATACACACATTTGCATTATTAATGTCAATTAGTATAGTTTTGTAGAAAAAAGCTTCTATACATCAGTAAGAAAAATTTACAAATATGAATAAGTACTTTATAAAGGATAGAATATAAATGACTCATAAACATAATATTCCCAACTTCAGTAATTATTTAAAAATAAAATTTCTATCACTTTTATATTTTACCTAAATGTGCACAATAATGTTTACTATTACAGAGATTATTGAGAAGTAAAGAAGCTCATACATTGTTGATAAGATGATAAATTGATGAAAAAATAGCAATATCTATTAAATTCCTGAATAGTTTTATCTTTTTATATGATATTGTATAATTTTTGAAGAAACATTTTACTTATCAGATCTAAAATAATTTACTTATGTGGACTTAAAAAGTCTGGTCAGTGTAGAAATATCACATATCCAGGCACTCACTGTGTGGAAGATTAGAACACACTTTAAATTTCGTAAAGAGTTCCACACTACCCAAATCACCTGGCTCCAGATGGTTAACACAACTCTCTGCAATAAAAATGGTAGTTTAAGGGAAGGAGAGGTAGGAATAGCAAGGATAGTAGAACAAAACAGGTATCATTACTTTATGTATATATTTAACTGCATGAACAATATGATTCTACAACATGTACACTCAGAAAAATGAGAAATTATACCCATCTATGTATATCAAAGTTCATAAATGCATTCTATTGTCATGTAAAACTAATTAGAATAAATTTAAAAATTCTTTTAAAAAGGGTATTTTAGTGATCAGTTACATATCAGGAACTACCTCCAAATCTGCATCCAAGGGGATTGTATAAATTAAAAGTTCATTTCTATATTTACATCTTGATCTCCTGATTATTTACTGGAAATTCCTAATCAAAAATTATTTACTGGAAATTCCTAATCAAAAACTGATTCTTAAATATCCTATGGTGCTTCTAAGTGACTAGTCATCATCAAAATCTCATGTTCCCTGAGATATAAAATTACTAAGCTGTCCGTGCTGATAATTTTGTGCATTTGCAGTGGCATGAATAAGAATGAGCACAATGTAATCTAAAAGCTAACCAGAAATGATTTTGTACATTATCTGCTACTACAGACTTTTTGAAGAGCACTGTTCTATTTTATTAAAAATTACCTCTGCTCATTCTGTGTAAATCATTACTTCTTCTAAACAACACTAGGTTATATAGTATAGTTTCTTCTCTTTATTAAAATGTTAGTCAGGAATTCAGCTTCCTTTTTGTGAATATTAGTGAAATGGAGCCATCTTGATCTTAACACATGGAAAATGAGCAATGGTTTGGTGCTAGTGACAGGGCCAAGCACCACAGATGAACAACTTCCTCCTTGGTAAAATTCCTCCTCAATATTTAATCCTCGTTTCTGGTAGCTAACCCAAATATCTCTCAGCAGAATCTTCACCACTGGTCAATTAACTAGCTCATCCAACTGCATCTGAGATATGTGTGCATTTATTGAGAGAAATACTTAAAAGTTAAAAATTCAGTTAGTTTTTCAACTAGTAATGAAAACTTTAAAAAAAAAAAAACTGACATCAGGACTGGGGTTGTGGCTTAGTGGTAGAGCACTTGCCTAGCATGTGTGAGGCAGTGGGTTCAATTCTCAGTGCCACATATAAATAAATAAAATGAAGGTCCATTGACAATTAAAAAATATTTTTAAAAAAAAACTGACTTTAATTTTAACCTTGCCTCATACCCTTCCTTTATGGAAGGGTCTTTAATACCAGGAACTTTGTAGGCATGTCATTAAATGCATTAATCTTAAGTTAAAACCAACTATGAACCCTACTTTGGAGGTATTATAGATTTTCATAATCTGTTAGAACACTTTCTTAGTCATTTTCTTTTTCCAGGATCTTCCAGCTCTTTATTTTTGGGTGAATGTTGTATATGAGTGTGTGGGTATGTGTGTATGTGTGAGAGAGAGAGAGAGAGAGACACACACACACACACACACAGAGAGAGATGCATGTATACTTATGTTTGAAAACTTGATTTAAAAGGGAATCGAACCCAGTCCCTCACACATGCTAGGCAAACACTCTACCACTGAGCCACAACCCCAGTCCCTGAAGTCAGTTTTTAAAAAATTTTTTTCATTACTAGCTGATAGTAATACAATTTTGAAACTGATTATTTCCCAGGTACTGTTCAAGGAGGAGACAACTTCCAGATGGAAATGTCACAAGTAGGATTCAGCGCGGATTACTCTCCTCAAAATGTGTGTATATAGATAACTTCAAGCCATACTGCCATTCACTCCTATGCTTTCAGACTCAATAACTTACACATGAAGTAGAAAAAACAACCATCTAGAGACAGATAGTTCTGGTTCCTAGCCATGCTCCTTAGCTTCTTTGTGTTGCTACTTTATCACCTCAAAAATGAAGATTAACAATGCCTCCCCTTCCCTATTTCAAAGGGATTTTCTATGGGGAGGAAGAGAGATAATATGCAAAGAAGACTTTCACTGCTCCAGGGCTCAAGCCCTATATTAATGTGAGATATTATCCCTACAGGAATGTCCTTTCAACCAATTAACAAATTCCGAGTTGCAATAGTATTTTTCTCTAAGAGCAGAGACAGAAAATAGTTGAAAAAGTTTAGGAAAGACGTGAGAGAAGATTGGAATACACCAGTGTTTTCTTAGCTCAGAGAAGCCCAGTCTTCTTTCTCAGAAGCATCTGCCTTCAAGCCTCTACTCTAATTCTATCTAGGATATGAGTAGGTAGTGAAAGGGGAAAAAATATGTGACACCCTGAGAAATAGTCAGGATACAGTGTGAACTCAGGGGCAGACCAAGGACCAAGAACAGCTCCTTGTATGTCTAGAATAGAAAGTGTGGACTGTTTCTGGGGCACCAAATCTTAGAGATGCTGAAAGTTATTAATATTTCCCATAGAAATAAATACAAATGAATCTATACACAGAGAATTCTATAACAATTCTGTAAACCCGTCCATGCTCATCAGAGTCCTGATCAGAGTCCCTAATACTACATTCATTCACATCATTTCACACACTCTAATCCTCAAAATGGCACACATTGTTTCCCTGGCTACTATTTTATGATCCGGAATCATACCTTTGATGTTTTCTAAGATCTAAGGCCAAAAACTTAAATATCAAGTTTCCTGTGTTGATGAAACCTGCCTTCAGTAGTGACTTATAGCTTTTGATATTCAAATTGAGCTTGATCCAATCCACAGTAGCCTGTCCCCCTCTACCCTTCCCCAGGGCTGGCCCATGCTAATTTTCCTTCCAATAGATGAACTGTCACAGCTACAGATGCCTTTTGTAGCTGTACTGTCATCCCACAGATGGGATATGGGGATTTGAGAATGAATCAAAAAGAGAGAGGAAAAATTAAAAATAATAGGTCAGAAAAGTGACCCCAGGACATGCCTGAGACAGCAGGAGCATGCTCTTTCTCCTCTCGGGTCAGCACTCTGTGACTCAAGCATGATTCATTTCCAGTTGTGAGCTTTTCCTATGAATATGTGGGACTGACATTCTACTATAATGCCTTTTTATAGGCTCATAAGGACTCAGCACTGGCAAATGTGTGTGTTTTGAGTGGATATTTTAAGATGACTACGTACCTGTTTTATACCAGAGCTTATTACAAAAAATTTATCTATGTAACATGTCAAAAGTAGGGCCCAAAATAAGATAAACCATGATAAGATTTGTTCTCCAGTGCAAATTTATGAAAACAATTTTGAGATATATCAAGATACATTAATATATATTTCCTTTCATTGCATTTATTTTTCTTAAATATAAATAGCTTATTTCAATATTTCCCCTACCCTGCCTTCTCATGCATTACATGTGATTTGTTTAATGATCTTCAACTTTCAATTACTTTAGGATATTCTGATGCTAGGAGCAGTTGGAGCTTTTGACTGGAGTGGGACTATTGTCCGGGGGACATCTCATGGATATTCAATCTTTCCTAAACAAGCCTTTGACCAGATTCTGCAGGATAGAAATCACAGTTCATATTTAGGTAAGGCATAGAAGCATTTGGCTCAGCAGACTGAAGTTCCTGTCCTTTAAACTAGCTTCTTGTTGAATCTTAGGGTCAGTCAGTTCAGCAAAGCCTCTGAAATGCCATCATATTTGTTGTTCATACATATGTTGCCTCTTTGCCAATCCGGCTTTAATTCACAATTGCTTAATAAAACATTTGCTTTGCACTCCCATCCCTATGACTGTTTAATCAATTGTAATTCCTGGAATATGATCATGTCTCTCAAAAATAGAAATAGTGGTCGGGTGCAGTGGTGCACACAGGGGCTTGGGAGGCTGAAGCAGAAGGATCACCAGTTCAAAGCCAGCCTCAGCAACTTATAGAGGCCCTAAGCAACTTAGCAAGACCCTATGTCTAATAAAATACAAAAAAGGGCTGGGTATGTGGCTCCATGGCTAAATGCCTCCAAGTTCAATCCCCAATATCAAAACTAAATAAATAAAATAAAATAGAAATAGTTTCTAAAAGCCAATACACTAAGTGGTAGTTTTATACTGTTTTAGAGTTTTCTGGTTTTTTTCTTATGATAAACAACCACTGATTTAGAGGACCTACTATGGGGCAGTTCCTGGGATGGCTATTCTATCTATATAAACATTTAAATCCTTCTAACAACCACATGAGAGCCATTTTACCTCTAGGATCCTTAGAGATCCTAAACAACCTAGTAAGTGTCAAATCCACAGTTTGTATCTAGAACTGTCTAACTCCTGTGGCCTGTGGCCTTTCCTCTGTGTGACATTACTTTTTAACTCCATTCGCTCATTCATTCAAGGCATATTTGTTGAGTGCCACATTCATAGGTTGCCGATGAGGACAACCTGGAATCTAGAGCCAGGTTTGTAGATGGAGAGAGACCCATGGGTCTATGCTGGATAGTGTGAAAAGTGGAAGGGCAAGAGCAGTTCATCTTAGAAATAGAAAGATGTGTCCTTGGTGACATACCTAGGTGCATGGGGAACTGTGCTCCATATCTAAAGTAAAGGATCTCTGATTATCTCTACTAACTGGGCAAGCCTTATCTGGTTGAGATATCCATTGACACCCTGTGTTTCCTTCTCTCCTAGGTTATTCTGTGGCTGCAATTTCTACTGAAAAAAATGTCCACTTTGTTGCTGGTGCTCCTAGAGCAAATTACACTGGCCAGATAGTTCTGTACACTGTTAATGAGAATGGCAATGTCACAATTATCCAGGCTCACAGAGGGGACCAGGTAAATATCATTGTTTATCAGGTGAAAATAATTTTATGGACAACTGGGTACATAGGGAATTGGGCAGGTAGAAATGAGAGCTAACATTTATCGAGTGCCTCCTCTGCATTTGGCTCTGTGATCTTAATTTTGTACATTCCTTACATTTTCACAGTAATACTAGAACATCTGCTCTCCACTTTGATAGGTTACTGAGAGTTTAGCCGGATTTTTAAGAAAACACAATTTTAATGGTATTAAGTTACTTTCACAACTCAATCTTAACTGGCCTCAAAGCTTGTGATGTTTAGTAATATCCCAGTCCATTGTTCTGACTGCCCACATGAACGCTAGGTGGCTGTTGTTTAGTCATGGTGGCAGGCACTATGTTTTGTGAACAAAGCCACATGAGGAGCCAAGAGTCTGGAGGAGAAATGGTAACACAGGAACAGTAGGTTATAATAGAAACTGAGCGGCACCTGAGCCTGTCGAGGTGTCCTGTTGGCCTTCATGTTCCTAAAAGGTCAAACAACTCTCTTCCATTTTCTGTTTGTGGGTGGTCATTTGGTTATTGAACCCTAAGCAGAATCCTGGTGTCATGCAGGAGCAAAGGCCAGCTTATGGGCTCCTGTTTCAGTTCTGCCCTCTGGTCCTGGCCATATGTGAGATGTACATCCCTGAACCCCAGCAAACAACAGAAAGTGATTTCCTTCCTTGAGACAGAGAAACTAACCACAGACTTCTGTTCTCTGGAAGTAATTCTGATTTTGCTGTTGCTGTGGATTTTCTAAGAATAAGAAGACCTGCTGGGCATGATGGCTCTCGCGTGTAATCCTGGCAGCTCACAAGGCTAAGGCAGGCCAATTATGAGTCCCAGCCTCATTAATTTAGTGAAGCCCTAAGCAACTCAGCAAGACCCTGTCTCTAAATAAAAATATAAAAAAAATACCAGGGGATGTGGCTCAGTGGTTAAGCACCCTTGGGTTCAATCCCTAGTACCACAAAAAAGAGTAAGAAGACCTGAGTTCTTGACTTCCTGGGCCACAGCCTAGCTATAATCACACACTCTTTCATCCTCTTTAGTATTTTTAAAAGAAGGGTGTTGAATATTTTAAAGAAAATGTTATGGAAGCAATCTGTTTTTATTAATTTCTAATCCTTAAAGAGGTTTTTGCTTAGGCATACAATGAATATGGCTGAGTGGGATGAATATCCAAATTCCCAGCCTCTATTTTTTCACTGTATCTCCACCCAGCCCTCCTATACTAGTCAATCTGGCAGCTACTCAGCTGTCCCAGACCAACCATGGATATTTATGTCATTCATGCTTCCCCATTTCTCTTCACCTGGAAAGTCCTTAAGATGCAATTCAAATAATGCTTTATCCTTCTAAGCCTTCCTGACGTCCAGGTACTCCAATCACTCAACCTTTGGGACTTGCCCATATTACAGTATATTTTTTATGGAAGTATAATTATTTATTCCTCTTGCTTCTACTCTTACCTTTCTCTACAGCACCCTTTACATAGTTACTAAGGATTTCTCTTATAAATGTGGCCTTTGGTTCAACATCATTAGAAATACCAGAGGTGCTTATTTAAAAAAAAAAATTTTGGATCACATTCCAGACATTTCATCAGAAGGCTTAGTAATAAGTCTTAAAGACACTTCCTTACCAATTCTTGTGCACCCTGACGTTTAAGAATCAAGTAGCTATATGGTGATTTAACCTGAAGGAAAGGAATCTGCTCTCCATCTTTATATTCTAGCATCTTTCAGGTTGTAAAAGCTCCATTTTTGTGCATTTTAAATGTTAATTAAAGTTCAATGTGATATTCAATGTATAAGAATCCTAGAAATCCTAAGATTAATATGCTTTATTACTCCAGCTTGGCTCCTATTTTGGTAGTGTGCTGTGTTCAGTTGACGTGGATAAAGACACCATTACAGATGTGCTCTTGGTTGGGGCACCAATGTACATGAATGACCTCAAGAAAGAGGAAGGAAGAGTCTACCTGTTTACTATTGTAAAGGTAAACTTAAAACAAGCAGTTTAATTTGCTTTAGTACTGACAAGTAAAAGTTAATCTGCATTTTGAAAAAAAAAGTTATTACTGGATGATTGATTCGCATGTCGAGTTTGGTTTGTATTTTATTAATTTTGAGGATGTCACCATTAAGTAATGACCTTAAAATCATGTTAAAAGGCATAATTAGAGTTTAATGCCAATTTACATGAGAAGTCTTTGGAAACATTTCTCTGATAAAAATAAAGTCATTATAAATTAAAATCATTTTTGAAATATACACACAAATGTTAGTGCATTTTCCAAGTATCTCATGCATTTTTATTAGTGCACTATAGATATACATAATATTGGCATCATTTTGACATAATAATACAAACATGGGATATAGTTTTCTCCAATTCATTTCCCAGTACTTCTCCTTTCCTTCCCCTCCTCCACCCTCTCTTTCCCTTCCTCTATTCTACTGGTCTTTATTCTATTTATTTGTAGTTTTTAAAATTAGTGCATTAGAGATTACATAAAGGTGAAATTCACTTTGGTCAGTTTCATTTCATAATTCCTCCCTTTTCCTAAACGTTCTCCCTCAGATTCAATCCCCTTCCTCAATTCCACTGGTTCCCACCCACCCCCTGTTTTTGCCCTTATTTTTATCTAACTTTCACATATGAAAGAAAACATTTGACACTTTATTTTCTGGGTCTGGCTTATTTCACATAGCATGATGTTCTCCACCTCCGTCCACTTACAAGCAAATGCCATTTCATTCTTCTTTATGATTAAGTACAACTACATCATGTATAAATACCACAGTTCCTTTATCTGTTTGTCTGTTGATGGGCATCTGGGTTGGTTGAATAACTTGGCTATTATGAGTTGAAAACATCATAAACATTGATGTGGCTGTATCCTTATAGTATGCTGATTTTAGATCTTTTGTATATATAGCAAGGAGTGGAATAATTAGGTCATATGCTGGTTCCATTTCTATAGTTGTAAGGCATCTCCATAATGCTTTCCAGAATGATTGTACTAATTTGCAGTCCCACCAAAAATGTATGAATGTACATCTTCCCCACATCCTTCCCAGCATTTATCTTTATTTGTATTCTTGATAGTTGCCATTCTGACTACAGTGAGATGACATCTCAATATACTTTTTATTTGCCTTTCCCTGATTGCCAGAGGTGTTGAACTTTTTATTGATATATTTGTTGACTATTTGTGCTTATTCTTTTGAGAACTGGCTCTTAGTTCTCTTGCCCATTTATTAATTGGGTTATTTAGGGTTTTGGTGGGGGTTTTTTAGTTCTTTATATATTCTGGATATTAATCCCTTGTCTGAGAAGTAGGTGGCAAAGATCTTTCCCATTCTGTAGGTCCTCTCTATATGTTCTTTATTATTTCCTTTGCTGCACAGAAGTTTTTTTATTTGATACCATCCTATTTATCAATTCTTGGTTTTACTTTTTGCACTTTAAGAGTCTTATTAAGGAAGTTGGTGCCTGTGCCACCACGATGTAGTTAGTGTTGGCTCTACATTGTCTTCTAGCAGTTTCAGAGTTCTGTTCTAATTCCTAGGTCTCTGATCCACCTTGAGTCAGCTTTTGTGCAGGGAGAGGGATAGGAATCGAGATTCATTCTTCTACATATTCATTCTTCTACCAGTTTTCTCAGCACCATTTGTATTTTTTTTAAAAAAAGGCTATATTTTCTCCAGCATGTGTTTTTGGCACCTTGTCAAATATCAGAAGACTCTATCTATGTGGATTTTTCTCTGTGTCTTCTATTCTGTTACATTTGTCTTCCTCTCTGTTTTGGTGCCAAAATACCATACTGTTTTTGTTACTATACCTCTATAGTATAATTTGAAGTCCTGTATTGTAATGCTATAAGCTTCATTCTTATTCAGAATTGCTTTGCTATTTGGGGTCTCTTATTTTCTGAATGGATTTTAGAATTGTTTTTTTCTAGTTCTGTGAAGAATATTATTGGTATTTTGAAGGATTGCACTGACTCTTTGTAATGCTTTTGGTGATATGGCCATTTTGATAATACTAATTCTGCCTATCCACAAACGTAAGGATTCTTTCCATCTTTTTCACTCCTGGGGATTGAACCCAGGGCCTCATACTTGCTAGACATGCACACTACCACTGAGTTACATCCCCAGCCCACTTCATTCATTTTTTTATGAAAAGATAATAATAACAGAACAGTGCTATTTTGTTATCAACTTGCAGTAAAGAGAAATAGTACTAGCCACTTTAGAAAACTCCATAGAATCTTAGATGCTTTCTACATAAGTTTGTCAGGAAATTCCATTGCTTAGTGAAACATTTAGGTGTATGTCCAACTCTTAGATTTTCAAATCCTTGCACATAAAATTTAGTTCAATCTGACATAAAAAAGCACAATTTTTCCAAATTGCAGACTGAACTCTCTAAATGCATGCATAGAGGTATAGTGGACTCAGTGAAATCAGGAAGAAAATTAAAGGCACAGTTTGGCATGGAAAATTAGACAAGTATGGAGAGAAAAAGAGAAACTGAAGTTAACATGGTCAAGATTATGCTTAGTTGTTGTGATAGTTTATCCTAGCTCATTTATTTAGATTAATGTAAAAATTAACCCTTTCATAGAAGCAATGTAAATAATTCTGATTATACCTATATAATCAGAGTGTATCATTGTACATACAATAAGGGAAGTGCACATCTACTTATTTGAAAATTTAATAAATCCACAATTTTTAAAATGTTCCTTGCTTTTCAAATATTCTGAACTATTTCATTAATTGTTGAAGATGTAAAAATCTCTTAATATGTTATCAAACTCAGTAGCAAATTCATTTCCGTGAGATTACAATAGAAGAAAAAACAACACTGACCCAGTTTCATGGTTGAGGAGCATGACTTTCTTGTGAAGTCATGAAATATTTCCTTAGTTGATTACAAAATCTTAAGGAAAAACTGTGTCTTTTACAAGGAAATGTCTTTTCCACTGGGCAGAATTACTTAGTGTTTCTTACAATGGAATATTAACTATTTCACTTTCCACTTCCTATCCCATTATAATTATGCCACTGTTTTGTGACTTTTAAGTATAACCTAAATCATCATATTTTATTTTGTTTTGCATCTACCTTAATTTCATCCCAGACATTAGATTTTTCATCAGAATGTTTTAAATTAAAAATTTGGAAACAGGTGAAGATCTTAATATGAGAGGAAAAGGAGAAAAAGGAATGAATACTTTTTTTAGGTTGTTCAGCTAAAGAGAAATACCTCTTTTAATCTCAGTTTATGAGCCAATATGCAGTGATTTTACTTATTAAAGTTTTTATTTATCATTGTCATCATAAATAGAAAATTTTGAATTCTAATTCAAGATATTACTTATAAGTAACATTTTGTTTTGGACATCAGCTGCTGTGAATTTTAATTACACATGTTGTGAGATTTGCTTTAATCATCCTTTATTCTCTTTGCAAGGGCATTTTGAATCAACACCAATTTCTAGAAGGCCCCAAGGGCTTTGAAAACGCTAGGTTTGGTTCCGCAATTGCAGCTTTGTCAGACATCAACATGGATGGCTTTAATGATGTGATCATCGGTTCACCTTTAGAAAATCAGAATTCTGGAGCTGTGTACATTTACAATGGTCATGAGGACACCATTCGCACAAAGTATTCCCAGGTAAGCCATGAGCTACATGATGATGTACTTATATGCGATTGTCATCATGTCAAATTCTGCTCTCCGTGGATTTTGTATTCTAATAGAGGAGACAATTGGAAAACAGATAAATAAGATGAAGGATTTCTGATAGTAATAAATGCCACAGAATTTAAAAAAGAAAAGAAAACTGAATTAGGGAATACAATTTCAAGTGAGAAATACCAGTTGGATAAAGGATAACTAAGCAACATCCTTACGCAGGCAATTTTTGTGTAAGACCTGAACAAGGCAAGCTGGGATAGGAATCTGGACCTGAACTTGCATCAATTTATTCTCCATCCACTGAACTTTTCACTATTTTGTGTTGGTTTGTGATTTTATATCGTAGGTGCATGCTGTTTTATTAATGGAAATGTGGGTGCAAAAGTGGTGCACAGGCAAATAAGAAGTGATTGAAAAAACAGCAGAATTTTTTGGAGAATAAAGATAACCTGGAAAATGACAACATGGGGCATTCGAGGACAGAGGCTGCCATTTGTCCGGCCCCACGGTTGTGCAGTGTCATTTCATATCAAACTTGCTTTTACAGAAAATCTTGGGATCTGATGGAGCCTTTAGGAGCCATCTCCAGTTCTTTGGGAGATCCTTGGATGGCTATGGAGACTTAAATGGGGATTCCATCACTGATGTGTCCATCGGTGCTTTTGGACAAGTGGTTCAACTCTGGTGAGTCAGTAAGTGCCAGATGCAAACTAGCTCACTGAACATGAGCTGCTGTGCTGGAATGGAGAAACGCCATGTGCATTATATAAGATTCTGGGGAATTTGCACAGAAGAGGACTATATTTTACCTTTCTGTTAATGGACTTATCTCAGCTTATAGCAGGGAACCCTCATGAACACATTGAAAATACTGAATGTTCAGAACACACAAATAAAGAAAAACTTCTCATGTGTGATTAAAAGGTGTATTTTAAAATTGTTAGTCATACAGAGGAAGCCTCTCATTGACATCCATAGGAGTTGAAGATGAGGGGGAACAAGAATCACATTCAAAGGCCTTGTGATTCAAGGTCAAAAATAAGTGCATGGACTTGTGAGGGATTGGAATTATAAAGAGATTGATTATTCAAGAGTTCCCATTTGGGCTGGGGATGTGGCTCAAGCGGTAGCAAGCTCGCCTGGCATGCTTTCGGCCCGGGTTCGATCCTCAGCACCACATAAAAACAAAGAGGTTGTGTCCGCCGAAAACTAAAAAATAAATATTGAAATTCTCTCTCTCTCTTTAAAAAAAAAGAGTCCCCATTCATTCATCTCTTTAAAAAAATGTGCTTTGAATGAATATCAAGGACACAAAAACATTAATCATTGATGTTTTAAAGTTTAATGATACTTTTTGTAAAACTCAGTTGTTCTTTAATGAATAAGTGCATTGCTTTTATTGTAGAATGAAATTGTTATGTGGTAGAAATAAAACACAAGGATAATATTTGAGACAGAAAGACAAGAAAATATATTTCCAAAATAAAATTTGTTAAGGTTGTTTATAAGTAGCATGCCAAGAGTAAATGCAAGGTGTGATATAATTATATGGCTGAGTTTTAAGTGGTTTAATAAGAAATCTCTCAGTGAACATCACCCCCTACACATCCTGGTAGGCTTTATAATTTATACTTGGTAGGCTATATATTCACTATACTATGACACTTTTTAAAATATATTTAGTGATAGTCAAACTTTTCCTTTTCCTTATTGAATACAATTTTGATTCTTCAAAAACATCAAGATACATGTAGTCAATGAATATATGGAGATAAGAGTCAAGCTAGGTTAAGATCATTTTGTGGTCACATTCTGTAAGTTTTCAGGACTGTTTTTTCTGTTTAACTCCTAAGAATATTTTTTTAAATAAACTTACAAAATATGTAAATCAGTGACATCTCTATTGAAATAAATACTTGTTTTCTCTTAAAGATTGCCTTAAAGAAAACATCCACTTAAGCATTTCAGATCTTATAAACTTGAGGATAAGTTGCCTTTTTTTAATTAGATGTTTTATGACTATTCATTAGGAGGCCTGATAGACATTAACTATTGAAATTATGTTTCCATTAACTGGAGTCTTTCAGGTGGTACCTGATATTAAAAGGAAATGTTTTATATGTCTTCTTGTGATACTTTAAAAAAAAACAGTGAAATTACTTTGTAAATAATTGAGGGTAAACACCACAGGTCACTGTGATCAAGTGTAAATTCCACTGTAGGGGAATTAGGAGACTGTGGGTTCCAACTTCTCACTAACTAACTTGTATCAAGTAAACTGGTAAGTCCTCAAATGTCTTGTGTCTCAGACATTTCCTTTGCTAAAATGAAAATAATATTTGTCCTACCTATTTCATAGGAGTGTTGTAAGGAGCAAATTAGATCAGAGCAAGATATCAGAAAGTCTTTATCCAGGTCAGAAGGTTACAGCGATCTGCTTGAGGTGACTCTATAGCCTTTTTTTTGGCACTTAGCTAGTTGCTACCCTCATGGCCATATGCCACATTTCAAAGAATTGCTGCTAAACTCTGAGGCAGTACGGAAGAAGCCATGACCACATTCCTCAGCCCTGCCATCTCTACCTGCTCACCTTCTTTCTCCCCTACCATTGTGAGAAGGGTGAATGTCACTACTTCTAGCTGATGAAAACCAAAACCATGACTTGGCTCTTCACTTGCAAAGAGGTTGCAGACTTTTATCCTGTGCTCATGCAGCTGTTCATTGAATTTAAAAACAAATGTATGTGTGTTGTGCTGATGATGTAGTCACAATCAAAAAATCATTGTCCCAGCATACCACCTTAGAGCTTTCAAATGGAAAATATTGCAGAAGTATTCAGATGCAAGGTAGAAAAATATAAATGATGCTGGTACTGGGTTCTCTGTGTAAAGCTTATGATATGTATGCTTGGTAATAATGTCTATCTGTTTCCATTTGTATCTTTCAGGTCACAGAGTATTGCTGATGTGGCTGTGAAAGCTACATTCACACCAGAAAAAATCACTTTGTTCAACAAGAATGCTCAGATAATCCTCAAACTCTGCTTCAGTGCAAAGTTTAGACCTACTAGGCAAAACAATCAAGTGGGTGAGTAGACCTGAAATTACCTGTACAGAGATAGGTTTATTTATGGTTTTAGTCTGTAAGCTATGCTTTGGTTTGTAGGCAAAAAGAAAGAAGCATCTTTACTTGCAGACACTTAAATTGCCACCCATTTGAAGTACTTAAGAATGGTTCATTAGGCATAGAATGTTTGTTTAGCTCTTCCTTCCTCATCTCTGGAAGGTGACATTCTGCTGCTGAATGTTGTAATCTCATGGCATAATTATGGGTTCTCTCAACTCTGTCCTTTGAGTTTCTCTTACCCACAATTCTCTTACTTAAATCTGCAGGCACACACAGATTTCACTGGACTGGTAGTTTTAAATGAGGGTGCCACTTGTTGGCTATGCCCTGTTCTAGATACAATACATGCAGTGAAACATGGAATGCTGTTCCTATTCTTGAATAATTAATAAGCACTGAATAATGAAAGGAAGCATGGAATCTGTGCCTATTGTTTTAAGTTTTCTAAACAATCCAGAGAAGCAAGTCAAGGTCTGCGTGTGTTTCACCAAATGGCAGAAAATGGGAAAAGCACCATAGGCAAGTGTCAACAGGAGTTGTCATCCTCTGTCCCCTCAGCTGGCCATCATCTTTCTAGTCCTGGCTAAGGTCCAGGATCCTCTTTGACGCCTTTTCTAACCACTCCATCTCACCTCCATCTTTTATCTCAGCACCTTCTGTAGACAGCATGCAATTTAACACTTAAAACCACCCTGCTATTTCATGGGTTCTAAACCCCCTTCCATCAGATTCTGGCTCTACACTTCAGAACCTGTAGTTCCTACAGATATTTAATTAAGTGGACAACAAATAAACTAACTTAAAGCCTGAAAATAATCAGTCAGGTTGTTTGCCATAATATAAACCAAGAAATAAATAAGGCCAGAATACAAAGCCAACATTAGATTCATATGTGGCACAACTTTCACTACCCTTAGTTCATAATCTACCAGTGTAAAGACTACTTCTTTATTTTCTGGAACTTAGACTTTGTGTAATATGACAAAACAATGCAAGACTTCATATCCATCTGGAAGTTTTCTTTTCAGGTGTTCAAACATTGACCCGACTTTGAGCTGCATAGCTCACAGCCCTGCCTTGGAGCACACGTCCATCTGAGTAGCCATGATAATTATATCACAGATCACTACTCTGTGAACATTGTTACTAGTCTGCCTAAACCATTAAATTGGAAGACACGTTAGTTAGCAGGAATACCTGGCTGCTCATCTTTCCTGCCTAAAGCAAAAATGTGCCTCAAGCATCTTCCACATTTTGACCATATTTCATCTTTTCTATTGCCTCACATCAGAAATTCCACTGTCAGAGAATTTCCTGGGCCATTGATTGGCTGCTGAGGGTCCCTGGCTTTCATGCTGTCATTCACCATTTCCTTTGAATCTTTCACCTTGATTCCCCAGGTTCACACTGATAAGCCAGTCGTCATCGTCTCTCACTTAATTGCTTGTCAATAATAGTGTATAAGGCAAGAATCCCATCCTCTTAATTGTGGAAAGTGAATTATAAAGCATATGGTTTATATTATTTATTACATTGGGCACATGTTCCAGTATGAGACTGTATATCAGTTTCACCCATTTGCTTTAAAAAATGAAAAGTATTATAACATGTACAAACTTTAACCTAACTACAGTGATCTCCCCACCATTCTTTTTTTTAATATAAATTTTTTTGTTGTAGATTGACACAATACCTTTATTTATTTATTTATTTATTTATTTTGGAGCTGAAGATTGAATCCAGTGCCTCACATGTGCTAGGCAAGTGCTCCACCACTGAGCCACAACCCCAGCCACCCACAATTCTGTTTTTAATTTTCACTGCTTATTTTTAGTTAATTTGTGTGTGTGTGTTTGTGTGTATTTTAGCCATATTTTTGGTCTCATTAAGTAATTAGAGCAAGAAAAAATTGTTCAGTATTGTCAATAGATAACTTTAAAAGACACATAAAGATTTAATGCCTTAGGGAGTATATTCAAAGCATTAAATCTTTATGTGTCTTTTAAACTATCTATTGACAATAATGCATAAAATACTGAAAGAAATAAAATCTGATAGAATAAACCCAAATAAAATAGTTGCTACTATGAATAGCACGAGATACTCACTCTAAATTTCCAACAGTGGACTTTAATTGAAAGTAATAGTTCTGATAGTTTAGACACTTGGTACCATCATCAATTTTCTTACACAGTGTTTTTTTTTCCATTTTTAATTCACTGAGATGATATGATTATCTTTATTTGATAGCTGAAGAAGCAGAGGTTCAAAGAGATTAAGTTGCCCAAAGTGACAGAGCACAGAGACTATGGAATTAGAATTCAAACCAAGTCTGACTTGAACCTGATTGTGGCAGTGTGGCATGTCTTTTCCCCATGAAAGATTGTAGAACATCCTGGCACTGTACGCATTCTTCCAGAGGACCTTAGTTAGTCCTTAAGGGGACATTTGTCCCTTAAAATGGCAGAGAAACAGATAGAACATAGAATTTATTTCAAAAATACCCAAGTGTTATTTCTTACCAAGTCTTAGCTGTGTAAACATAAGTGAATTCTTTTATCTCACTGATTCTATATCATTATCTCAAAACTAAAATAACAATATCCACTTCCCAGATTTATTGTAAAGCTTGTATAAGGTAACATGAGAATGTGTTTAACTGTAGGCATTCAATAACTATCCCTTTGTTTTCCCTGTCTCCATGTTATGGAGAAGGAAGCCGAGGCAGGAGGCAGTGAGCAATTGGACCAGGTTTATCTGTAGATTTCCCAGTGGCAAGTCCAATGTTCTTTCCACAGCTCCCAGCCACATTTGTCTGAATAACATTTCTTTGTATCCAAAGTCAGTTATCAGAGCTAGAATTAAAAAATCATATTGTGCTACCCTTAGTTCATAATCTACCAGTGTAAAGACTATTTCTTTATTTTATGGAACTTACAGAGACTTTGTGTAATATGAAAAAACAATGCAAGACTTTTTTTTCCTTAGAAGTTTATTTGTAATAACATTTCTTTATGATTTTTATCACAGCTATTATGTATAACATCACACTTGATGCAGATAGATATTCATCCAGAGTAACCTCCAGAGGTTTATTTAAAGAAAATAATGAAAGGTGCTTGCAGAAGAATATGGTAGTAAATCAAGCACAGAGTTGCTCTGAGTACATCATTCTTATACAGGTGAGGCCTCATGGTCACAAAAGTTCTAAAATGGAAATTTGTGTTAGAAAATGCTTGCCCTCCTAATTATTTCCTTTCTTGTCTAATTCTATGAACAGGAAGCATATTTCCTTTATCTTTATACTTATGGTCACATTTTATTATTATATAAATTAGTGGCATTAAATTTTATTTGGGATTATTACTAAAAGGGTTAAAAATAAGATTCTTAAAGAAATTAAAGACAGTACTTTCTTTAATGTTCAATATTGCAAATTTACAGTGGACAAAAAATTTTATTTTCATATTTTCCCATTGGGGAAAATTTTATTCATTTTAAACTACTGAAATTCCAATTCTAATTGTGTTTCCACTATTGATAGGAGAACGATGGTAAGTTAAAGATTACATGTTCTAATCTTGTGCCATAATTAATATAGTTCTCAGGGTTCTTGAAAAACTCCCAGGTAGGAAAAATGCTTCTCAGGAGAAAATTTCCAATAGGAAATTTATTTTATATATTTTATGAAACATCTCCCCTTAGCAACTACATAATGATATTTGAAAGCGTGATTTACTCAGGAAACCACTTTAGAAAGAACTGCTTAAGTATTCTATCCTAAACACAGTTCTCAGAGGTTAAGGCACCTAAGAATTGCCAAGGAAACTCATATTAAATCCACATTCTGGGTTCCCAACACCATAAATTGGGTTTGAAGGGGCAAAGATTATGCCGATTTAAGGGACATGCCGGCTATTCCCAATGTGGATGGATGGTATAGAGATCACACTTCAAGAAAAGCCAAGCATGAGATTTGGGAAGACATCAACTTCATGGTTAGACGAATGAAGTGCAGTAGACTTGTTTAAGTTATTATTTCATTTTAAAGTTTCTTGTCTGTGAAGGCCTGGATTTTGTTGTTGCTGTTGAAATCCTAATTATACAGATTTTTTAAAGAGAACAAAAGCTGACTTCCATTCTCTCCTATCTGGTATCAACTAGTGATTCAAATTATACATGTAATCCATTGTGGGGAGATGAAGACAGCCAAGCTGTTTTTCTTGAAGAAAAAAAAAAAGACCTATTTACTGTTTGACATCAATACCACATGAGACCACCCAATATACCAAGCCTGCTGCTGACTGAGGAAGCTCAGAGTCAAGCTGTCCTCGTATCAGGATCCCAGAAAGGACTCAAAGACTTGAGAATAAGTCCTGCTGGTGAAATGCACTCAACGACAATGAACATACTGTGTCTGGGGAGAAGGGAAATTAGATTCTTGGGATTGTTTTCATTTGTATATACATAATTCTTTCTTGACAAGAACTGGAAAAGATTTGTAAGAGGATTGCTAGATGAGTTTTGCAACTGTTTTGGCATTTTACATGTTTCATCAGACAAGAAGCCTCAAAACTGGAAGGGACCCAAGCCTCCTGTAATGCCGCAAATTCTCTGCTCTGTATACAGAAGCAAAGCAGAGTGTGTGTACAAGGCTGACTTTAATAAGTATCCAGTCACATGTGCATCATCTTCATGTACAAGCAGCAACAGAGTTCCTAAAAGTCAGCTCGGGCCAGAGGCTAAAGAGCTTGACTCTGGACATAGGAATCTTTATCTGGTTTTGTAGAGAAGGCTTAGATTCTGACCAAGGAAGGAAGTATTCTTGCCCCCTCCTTAATAGCCATCCATGAGCTGGGTCATAATAAGCCCTTCCAGAGGTTTGATCTGGATACCTGGGGACTCTTTAGTCTTGAAAATAAGAATGAGAAGGACATAGACATCAGCTCAAAAGCAAGGTACTGATTTAGAAGTCATTGGAAGATTATCATGTTATAATGACTTATGCATATATAATGAGATTATTGATGAATTCAACTAAGAATTGCTGCTTTAGATTTTTACTGTAATCAAGAATCTTTAGGTTTCCTAGTAGTATGGAGGCTTACAGCAGAAGTAGGATGGAAAAGAGGAAGCAGAACCTGATCATTCAAAACAAGCATATGCTATGCTACATAATCAAGTGCTAATTCTTAATCGTAAACACATTTGAAGTCATTTTCTTGTTTTAAAGCTGCTGTGCCTTAACATGCTGACTCTGTGGTGTGTGTGTGTTCTGTGTTAGAAACCCTCTGATGTTGTAAATTCTTTGGATCTGCGTGTGGATATCAGTCTTGAAAATGCTGGCACTAGCCCTGCCCTGGAAGCCTATTCTGACACAGTCAAGGTCTTCAGTGTAAGTGCCACATGCCCTTTCTCCATTGAGATTGGCTAACAAAGGTTCACAGTCACTGCAGTAGTGTTTTAAAATACCCAGGACAAAGTCTTAATGTCTTAATTTTCTAAAAAAAATGCTTCAAGTTATATATATATACACAAACATAGATATACATATATGTCTTTTTTTTTTCAGATCCCTTTCTATAAAGATTGTGGTGACGATGGACTTTGCATCTCTGACCTGGTTCTAGATGTCCAACAACTACCAGCTGTTCAGTATGTTCTATTTTAACGCTCAGTATAAAATGTGTAAATGAAAGACACAGTTGATTGTTTCATTCAAATCAATGTTTATAGAGGTTGCTTTTTTTTTACCAAAAAAAAAAAATTCACACTAGTAAAGACTAAATTATAATTTCTATCATTCACAAAAGAATAGAGCATAAGAAATACAAAATTCTTGGTATTTGGATAGTTGTCCCTGCCATGTAATTAAAAGCAACAACAACAACAAAAAGTCTCGTAGCATTTACTTATGCATAGTAGCACTTTTATGTGAAGATAATTTATTATTATTAAGCAATTTTCTCACTTTCCAAGTAGAGTTTATTTCTTAAATGTATGAAGTTTATGAATATTTGTCTTTTTTATTTTTAATGCCTTTTTTTCTTTTTCTTTTTCTTCTCTTGATTTTTAATAGAGAACAATCCTTTATTGTCAACAATCAAAATAAAAGGTTAACATTTTCAGTAACACTGAAAAACAAAAAGGAAAGTGCCTACAACACTGGAATTGTTGCTAATTTTTCAGAAAACTTGTTTTTTGCTTCATTCTCCATGCCGGTATGTGAGGACACCCTGAGCACTGTGTTTCGCACTTGCTTTAACTGTCTTCCTTGTACTCAAACCTCCCGCATCCTCTAAATAGTCTAAAGAAGCCCTGTTCCCCTGGGCATGATCAGTCCTGAACTATGGCTTCTAACTGGTTAAGCCACAGGAGAGCTGTCTGGCTCTATATCTAGAGCCAATTCTGCTTTGCAGCTCTGGTCACTTTTTCCTTTACCCCGACACTTGGCAACAGTAGCCAGACACTCCTGTAACTCTTCCCGAGCCATCTGTGTGATGAGATTGCTGTGGTCCTGCACAGATGTCCTGCACTTGCTGTGAGGCATCTGAGACACATGGCTTAGCCAGGGCTTTGCAACCCCAGGTCTTGTTACTGCCAAGATGATGCATTCCAGCAAAGCCAGGCAATCAAGTGGACCTGATCACTAAACCAGGACTGCCTTGACCATGAGGGCCCCTTGGTCCCTCCTCTGCCCTTAAGCCATGCAAAGCAAAGAAGGAAAAGCTGTTTTCCGAGGGAGCTACTTGATTAAAGGTTTAAAAAATGGTTCATCCAATTTAAAGTTAATGTGAACTCACAATAGATTTAGAGTTCTTAGCTTATTCTGACCTTAGCATTTAATGTTCTGTGCCAAATAGCAACATTTTACTTTAAAAACAAAATGAAATGAGGAAAAATTAAAAAAGAATATTTGATTGATTAAAAACATGGATAAATAACAACATAAATATTTTTCTCTTGAAAATACAAATTTCAAAAATATGAAGAGAATGGTATGACTAAAGATTTCTGAATATTGGATTAAAGCCTTTTGTGCTTCCAAAATATAATAACTGATTTCCTTCTTAGAGGGAAAATCCAACTTTTAATCTATTCTTTGCTTTGTCCAGATATATCTTTAGAGTTAGCAGTAAAAATAGTATACTAGTTAATTGCACAGTACAAGGTTTTCAAATCTTTAGTGACAATAATCTGTATGAATGTAAACCAATCTTACTGCTAAAATGTACCTGTACATTTTTCAGTATGTATGTACACACACACACATTATCAAGTAATTGATTGTTGTTATTCCCCTGGTCTTGTTCAGGCTGATGGTACAGAAGTAACATGTGAAGTTGGTTCATCTCAGAAGTTTCTTTCCTGTGATGTGGGCTACCCTGCTTTGAAGAGGGAACAACAGGTACAACTTGCATGTCATCCTCAAATCCATTCCAGGCACACCTCAGCATTCATGTCAATTCACCAACATAACATCTTCTTTATTAGATATTATCATTTGATAAGCATCACAAAATAACCAGGATTCATGCTTAGAAAAGTTTCTTAATAGCTGATTTTTTTCTTTAAATTATTAATAAATGAGAGATTTTTCTACATGTAAAAATACACACACTATATCAAAAGTGCTTTTTGTCTGAATATGTTGATCAATATAGGTCAAAGCATTGAAGTCAGAGTCACAGAGATCACCTGGTGTTTATAAACAAGTTTCATGTTTGCCCAAAGATTTGCAATTCAGACACGTATCTCATGAGGCTGGATAACTTCTATGTCAGTTGAAATTTAAGCTCTCCCAATTCTAAAGTAAGCAGGTTAAAGCAAGGTCAACTAAAAATATTCTACAAGTATAAAAGCTTAAGGTGTATAAAATTCAGAATCAAACTGGAATGAGTTTACTTTATGAGGAACATTTTTTTCCTGTGTATAAAGCATCATAGATTGATCAATTTTAATTTTGTGTATAGGTGACTTTTACTATTAACTTCGACTTTGACCTTCAAAACCTTCGGAATCAGGCATCTATAAGTTTCCAAGCCTTAAGGTAAAACATAATGAATTGAAGATGAATGGTTTTTAGAATAGTTCTCTTTGAGTGATTTCTTCATGTTTGTTCCAATAGTGAAAGCCAGGAAGCAAACAATGCAGATAACTCAGTCAACCTCAAAATTCCTCTCCTGTATGATGCTGAAATTCACTTAACCAGGTACGTTAAGAGTATATGGGTAGATAGCCTGTTGTCATTGGCACCCCCTGGTTTTTAACACACTTGGCTCATGACTAGAGAAGCTATCTGTATGCTCAGTCTTAACTAAAGAATTAGTTATGAGACTTAGTTTCCCCCTTGTCAACTAAAACAGAAGTCCATAGGCAAATTGGTGCCTAGGAAAACTTTAAGTGATTCTTTGGGTTTATTGACTCAGAGCAGCAGCACAGGAAGGCAGAGGACAAAGCTCCCCTGCAGGCCCTCAGAGGGAGTACAAACCTTACCAAGGTATTGAAACAGACTCTTAAGGGCCCTGAGAGCTGCCAGAAGTTTCTTCTCACTGCCTACTTCCTAATTTGCTCATGAGAAGTCAAGTTATATCCCTGCTTCTGAACACTGAAGCCTTCTGAACACTGAAGCCCCCAAACCTATGCTTTGTACTTGGGAAGTCACAACAAATTCAGAAATGGAAACTAGGCCAAGTCCAGCTTCTGAGTGGAAAATTCCATTTTTTTTTTTTTTTATGTGTGTGTTGGTGTTGGGGATTGAACCCAGGGCCTTGCGCATGCGAGGCAAACACTCTACCAAAGGAGCTATATCCCCAGCCCATGAATGGAAAATTCCTGACAAAAGAGATTAGGGTTTTCTTCCAACAAGGAGGAAATGAGGGATTTTCCAAAGGAAGCCATTCATGAAGAAATGCTTTTGTTCCTTTTCTTGCCTTCCCAAAGCAAGTAAACTTGAGAGCAGTGGTTAAAAGTTATAACTATCTTGAATTGTTCAGAGGAACAGCTGTCTTTGAAAGTGAGTAATATACAAATCTCACAGGTAAAAATAGGTTGACAGCACTTTAACTCACTCAGAAGTGAGTCTGGTTCATGGAACAGACCATCTGAGGTCATTGCTTTAGGGGCATGAGCCAGAGGGATGCCTACCTCTAAGCCTGCAGACAGACTTCTCTGCCCAGTGAAGCACAGACCAGTGACCCAGGAAAAATATGAGGCAGTGTTTCCCCAAGAAGTCCAGTGACAACAGTTTCTCTAGCTCATCACCCCAGCCCCTAAAAGCATGGAATATGCAAATTATCTAATAAATCACTAAGCAAAAACTAAAAGGAAAATACGTCATCCTGTCTGGAGCTTGAGATGCATGAGCAAAGATGAAATGGAAGGAGACCCTCAGAGTTATACAAAAGTACATACAAGAGGAAGTGAGGGGAAGGGGAAAAATAATATAAGGGGGACAAACGAATGTCAGTAGAGGGAGCAGAGAGAGAAGAGGGGAGGGGAGGGGAGGGGAGGGGAGGGGGGATAGTAGAGGATAGGAAAGGCAGCAGACTACAACAGACACTAGTATGGCAATATGTAAATCAATGGATGTGTAACTGATGTGATTCTGCAATCTGTATATGGGGTAAAAATGGGAGCTCATAACCCACTTGAATCAAATTGTGAAATATGATATATCAAGAACTATGTAATGTTTTGAACAGCCAACAATAAAAAATTTAAAAAAAAAAATAAAAATAAATAAATAAATAAAATAAAATAGAAAAAAAAAAAAAGAAAAGAATGCTTCTGTATCAAGTGAATCTCGAATACACATGAGTGGAGACTAAATTCAGACCAAGTCATCCATCCCTGAAGAATTAATCAATAACGACAAATTTCAAAGACTCACAGTTCTTAAAATAAGATATTGAAGACAAATGCAGCCACAGAGATCTGTATTGGCACATTGTCTGAATATTTTTCTTCTCACCTACATTGATTCTTTCTTCTACATACTTATTGTTAATAAAGACTTTTGGTCATTCCATTCTACCCATAGCCAATTTTTTTTTCAGATATTTTAACATGAAATAAATATAACATTGAAATGGGACTTCACTTTTACTAATTGACAGCTATGTATTTTTATGTTGGTGATTTGGATTCCATTACATCCCAATAAATGTATAGCTAAAAGCTTAATGTGGAGAATTATAAAGAACAAAAGTTAAAGTGGATCCTAATCCTACAACACACAAATAGTTATCCAGATGTTTTCTAGAAATAAAAACATTAAATGTCTATAGAAAAATCTAAATATTACAGGAAGATATACAATGAAATATGAAGTACACCTTCCCTCTCTCCTCAGTGGCACTCTGTAGGAGACTCACAGGTGTAATTTGGAAGAGCTCCTAGGTAGAGTTTGTTTATCTACATTCCAGTAGATAGCAACCACTCTAATACTGTTTAAATATATAGTTATATTTTATAAATATGATGGATGAAAATAGGTGGTGATATTAGAATTATTTTTGGAACAAGATCCCTCTGAGCATAGCTAAATGCCGCTATAAATATATTAATCAACATTTAAGTAACTTAGGAAAAACAAGTAACGAATGGGCACGTGTAAGATCTCTTTAAAATTCAAAAAGCTGAGCATATTAATCAATTTATAAATTGGCCCTGTTTAGGAGCTCACACAAACATCTTCAAAAAGGCAAAGAGAATAATCTATATACACATAGCCAGCCTTTCTGTTTCAAATCCTTGTCACTTTTCCCATTTTCCATGTAAGGCTTACCAATCATTGTTTCCCCTCATATATATAACCTTGACAAATACCACATCTATTTAAATCTTCCTATGACATATTTTCCTTCTGAGATTTTTGGAAAAGCGTTTTCTAAGGCATAAAAAAGAGAAACACAAAGTTTCAGTAGAGAAACTAAAAAAAAAAAAAAAATCTGTCTCAGAAAATATCCAGCCCAATTTTTTTTTTTTAGAAAATGGAATCAACATCCTATAATTAAGATAAACTATCCATTGGAAACAAAAGGAGAGGATCTGCATAGTGCTTTCCAGACTCCTTCTCCTGCCACCTGCTCCTTCATATTCTGAAGAAGTTGCCCTGGCTGGAAGCCAGCCTTAGAGACCCAGAAATAAGCACGAAGATGGGAGATGTCAAGTTTCATTCCAGTCTGAGTGCTCCCCTGGGTTTCCTCTGACCTAGACTCCACTATGCTTGCTGCTGTTAGTTGGCAATCCTAAGCAAAAAAAATCAAGATCAGTCCAATATCTCTCTTCTAGTCTAATAAAATCTCTGGGTCATCCATCTTGAAAGTGATTCCACTACTGGTGAAAACTGATTTGATCCACCCCAATTTAGACCTGAACCATTAGAGTTGGCTTGGAACTAGAGACGAATAGGAAGAAGAATTAATAAAGAAAATTTATGTCCTGTTTCATAGGCTCCCAGTAACGAATAATGCAGGAGCTAATACCCAATACCCCATTACTGTATTCCTGCCATCCAGATGAAAAAACCCTGGCTTATAAATACATTCATGCAATCAACAAGGATGATACTAACATATATTAACATAACTGTCAACAGTCACCTTAAGAACAGTTCAAGGATCCATTCTAAAGTAAAACTGTACTTACTTTAGAAACTTGACAAGTGATAAGCATGTAACAGAATCTCAGCAGAAAGACAATGAAGAGACTTTTTTTAAAAAAAAGAATTTGTTTTAGTCTTAGAAATACATATTGGACCATAATATCATAAGCATTTAATATCATTAATACTTTTAGAAATTTTATTATAATTATAATTGTATGTTATGTATGGATTACAGAGTGATAATTCAACACATGTATACAATATGCAATGATAAAATCATGAGTGATTGACATTTCTACATCCTTCAATTTTTTAAAGTTTTTTATTGACATGAAATAATTATACCTGTATTTATGGGGTATAGTATATTTCAATACACATATGCTTTGTGCACTTATCAAGTCAGGCTAATTATCATTTTTTCATCCTTATCATTACTTAGTTTTGGAGGTTTTAAGCTCGTTTTTTCTAGTTATTCATAAAACATATAATAGTCATTGTAGACAATAGCCACCCCACTGTGCTGCAGAACACTAGAACTTGTTCCTTCTCTCTGCTGTGTTTTAGTGCCCTTTATCCAACCTCCTTCTATTCTCTCCCACCTCAGATTTTCCCAGCCTCCAGTCAGACATAGAAAGACAAGGTCCCCATGTTCTAGCTCATATGTGGAAGCAAAAGCAATCAATCTGAATGTGGAATAATCATTTTACTGCTTTTGTAACTAAAAGTAAACTGTTTTACTTGTAATATAAGCTACAAAAAAACTTAAATATGATGCTTCAAGACAATATCAAAACTAAAAATACTGACTTTATAAATGTTATTCAATAGATCCACCAACATAAATTTTTATGAAGTTTACTCAGATGTGAATGTTCCTTCTATCGTGCACAATTTTGAAGATATTGGTCCAAAATTCATCTTTTCTCTTAAGGTTGGTAAGCCTATCATAAGGTTGGTAAATCAGGAAAAGGCATGGGGTGGCGGGGATGAGTCTTGGAAGAGAAGAAAAGGAAATGAAGTTGAAATACCCCCCTGATTCTCAAACTTGAGCATGCATTAGGTTTACCTGGAGGGCTTGTTAAAACAGGCTTCATTCCCAGAATTTCTGAGTCAGTAAGTCTGGGGGTGGCCTAAAAATGTGTATTTTTGACAAGTTCCCAGGTGATTCTGATGCTGTTAGTCCAGGTCCTATATACTTTGAGAGCTACTAGGATAAACAACAGATATGTAAACAAGTCTTTGTGTTTAGTTATATGAAGTGGGTAAGAGATAATGATATATCTTCAAGGCAAATATTCAATGGAAATCAATAGGATATTACTGTGGCAAACATCCTCATAATAGAATGATGTTGCCAGCTTATTCTTGGAGACCACTTCTGTTTTAGAAGCTTACAAGTATGGGTTTTGTACAGTCATACCTGGTAGTATCTAAAAACATTTTTGAGTTAAATTGTAATGTTTATGAACAAGCAATTATATTCTAAAGACTATGATCAGTCTTATGAAAAGAAATTAAGTTGTGAAAAAAATGGCTTTCATAATTATGTTATTACATGGGAGAAATTTTGGAAAGTAGAAAAGCATCCATCCTCCATCCTGAATCAGTACCGTTTTATTTTTTGTACATTTCCTTCTAGTCTATGACATGGCTGCAACTATCAAGTTTTGTGACTTCAAAAACAATCTAAAAAAGAATCTTGATTTGTTATACAGATACTGGAATTTATAAAATATGGATGGTATTCGGTAGCCATGTTTTGTTGGAAATTTAATCAGTTCATAGTAAAAATAAAATAGCATTCATAGTGTACTGAGTATCAGCCATAGTATTGTTTTAAATATACATGTTACCATGTTTAATTTCCAGATAATTATGAGATTGGTACTGTTATTATTCCTAGGGATTTTTTTTTTAATTATAGAACCAATAAGACATAAGCACTGTCCACCTAGAACAGAAACCCCACCAATGAGAACAGACGGTATACCACCGCATGCCCATGGTGTTTCTGATTATCTTTATTTCACATATGAGAACACTGTAGCATAAGGAGCTTCCTTACCGGAAATTCTGCTACTCTGTTGCAGTTGCTTACTATATTACAGTTGTCCTCTATCAACACAGAGATTATTGATAATTTCCCTTGTGTCCATGAATCATGTCGTGACAGGAGTGTTTTCTTCCCTATGTAGGTAACAACAGGAAGTATTCCAGTGAGCATGGCATCTGTAATCATTCATATCCCTCAGTACACCAAAGAAAAGAATCCATTGATGTACCTGACTGGGGTGCACGTAGACCGGGTAAGGACCACAACATAGCCTATAAAAATGTGCACTTTTAAGATGGAAATAACCCAGGAGTTCTGGGCAGCTGTCTGACATTTTGTAGATGAGAAACAAAGAATAACCTCTCTGTATCCCAGGGGCCAATTACTTAGCAGTTAATTTCATAAAGATAGCTCTCTAACATTAGTGGTTTTTTTTTTTTTTTTTTTTTTTTTCTGAAAGTTTCTCGGTGGTTCTCCCGTGTAGCCTGGGCCAAGAGGCACTGCTCTAGCAAAACACCTTGACGTTGGCTCTCTTTGGACCAGGCACTTAGCTGGTTTTACAGTTTTGTTCTTCCTACACTGTGCATGGGAGACTATAGGACCTAAAAATCTAAAATGTTCCACAGACAAGAACCCTGAATTAAATCATTTGCAATATATTTATATTCCAAATTTATCTCATCACTTATGACCTATGTATTACCCCATTTGGCAGTACTACAACCAAATACCTAAGGCTAGGTAGCTTTTATAAAGAGAAGAGATTTATTGAACCTACAGTTCTGGAGACTCAAGGGTATGATACCAGCATCGTTCGAGAACCTCATGGTGAATGCTAGGAGGCAGAGAGAGGGGTGGGGAGAACATAGTCAAACAGGAAACTAGACAGGGACTGGAGTTCCACAATTGCTTCTGAGGACACAACCCCATTTAGGGCCTCCTGCTGGGTCCCAACTCCTAAAGGTGCTGTCCTCTCTGAACACTGCTACCCTGGGAATCAAGTTAATTACATGAACTTTGGGGGACAAACCACCTCTAAACCAGAGCAGGCTATAAGAACCTAGACCACCTCATCAAGTCACCTCAGAGGATTTGGATACTGTGGTTTTACTTTAGTGGCCACCAGAAGTTCGGCCAGGTAAGCACAGCTGCAAGGATCCTAACCACCCTCCCCAGCAGGACATCCCAACATGTTGAAAGGAACATCATCAACCATTTTGCTTCCTAAATCTGATTTGGTGTTCTTCCCTGTAGGCTGGTGACATCAGCTGTAAAGCAGAAATAAATCCTCTCAAACTAGGACAGACTTCTTCATCTGTGTCCTTCAAGAGTGAAAATTTCCGGCACACTAAAGAGTTGGTGAGGACAGGGGCCCCAGGGGAGTTTCCTGCAGTGATTTAGTGTTTGCTTTGCCTGGCATCTCGGCACCTCCCTTCTCCACCAGTTCATATCTTAGACCACCCTCATTTTGCCTTCAGTGGCTTGCGAGAGTAGGGGTTTAGACAGTACATTCTCAAAGAGAGGTTATTGGAATTATTAATTAGGCCATTACTTACAGAATGCACGTCCAGGGCTCCTGACATCAAAAGGACACTTGTGACCATTGTGTCTCTGTGCAGCACACTTTGGGAAAGTTGCAAAGAGCTGCAAGAGTTGGGTGTGTCCTCTATAGGTGGTGTCCTTGATCCCTTTCCACATAGTCACTGAGCTTCTTCTAAGTTTGCTACCCTCTTTGTTTTTCAGAACTTCATCTTCTGCTCCCAACCTATGCCTTTATCTTTTGGAAAGAGATTAGTCTAGCATTGTGCTTGGCATATATTAAGCATTCAAATAAGCAAACATTTAGTGAACAATAAACCCTGAACAAACCACATCTCTCCAGTCTGAATAATATTGAAATTCTCCTGGTTTTCTTTATTGCAGTTGTTTTATTTTGTGAAGGATGGAAAATAAGGGAGAATGAAGTTTTGTCTCTTAATGAGCACTAGACCACATACAGATTTGTGTGTGTTGTTACTTAAATGCCATTGCTACCTTTTGACCTTTGACATATACCAATATGTCATAACTGTTTATGGGTGTGTGTGTGTATGTGTGTATGTGTATGTGTGTGTGTGTGTGTGTGTGTGTGTGTGTGTTTGGTACTGAGGATAGAGCTCAGGGCCTCCTGCATGCTCGTCAAGTGGTCTACCACACAGCTACATCCCCAGACCCCTCATAATTGCTTTTTTTTTTAATGTTTTAAGGTAGTTTAAGATTCACAGCAAAACTAATTGAAATCTACTGAACTTTCCTATATGCCCCATCCCCACATTCTCATGGCCTCCTCCACCATTGAAATCCAGAACCCAAGTGGTATATTTGTTGCAATTAGTGAACCTACACTGACTCATCATTATCACCCCAAATCCATATTCCACATCAGGGTTCACTACTGGCATTGTCAAAATCCATAGTGTGGATTTTGACAGATGTATAATGACATGTATTCATGATTATAGTGTCATACAGAGAAGTTTCACTACCAAAAAAAAAAAAAATCCTCTGAGCTCTGTATTCTTCCCTCTCTCTCAAACCTTGACAATCATTAATTCTTTCAAATTAAAAAACTTCAATTCTTTCCAAATTTAAAAATCGAAGAAATTCATTTTCATTATTAGGATTAATGCCTAAATTATACTAAAATTTGTTTATGTTCAATAATTTACTTAGCTAGTACATTATTGATAAACAAGTTGGATTTGTTGTTGTTGTTGTCATTGTCATTGTTTTTACTCTCAGATCTAGTGGTACAATAGACAGGGTTGGTGTACTTTAAATCCACACACTTTTTCTTATCTCCTGAGGCTATCTGTATAAATAGGAAATGGCTGGACACAAAGGGTATGCAATTTTTACATTTTGAGACCTAGTTAAAAAAAAATCCCTTGAAGAAGAGTTCCAAGTACTAATAACTCATGAGATTGTTTATTTCCCTAGATCCTTCCCAGCACTGGGTTTCATCTATCTTTGTATAATTTTGGCATTTATTCTTTTTTACACCTGTATTAACACTCTCTTTTCTTTTGCTATTGACTCCAACCTGAAAGAACTGCAGAACTGCCTCCTGTAGTAATGTCACCTGCTGGCTGAAAGACCTTCACATGAAAGGAGAATATTTCATTAACGTGTCTACCAGAATTTGGAACAGGACTTTTGCAGCAGTAAGTATCAATATTACCCATTGGGTTCATAAATAACAAGGAAACATAGGCTTCATTATCAAGGAGCTATTAGGTTGATTCAGGTTTATGATAGCCACTTTACTCTGAGAGGAAGTAAGGTCCCATACCTTGCCAGTGCTCCCCCAATCTGGCTGTGCCTCAGAATGATCTGGGAGCTCATGCAATGTTCTGCTTCGTGGACTCCATGCCTACCTATGATACCTACAGGAATGAGGTCTTGTTGCCCTGGTTAAAGATAACATGTGCATTGTCTCCTTCCTCATGTGTTCCTACATTTCTATCTTCCCAGTCTCCTTCACCACACCCATATCAAGATGCATACGACCCTGTCTGTCTCCTTGAACCCTTAACTATTTGGTCTTAAATCATTCATAGATGAATCCAGCATAAAGGTCTGTCTTCCCATATGAGAGCAGGTAATATCTGCTATCCTATTTGACTCTTCCTCTGGTAAGAGAGCCCAATGACCACACAACTTTTTAAGTCATTTCAATCTCCAAGAAAAATTCAAAGAATGTGCCCAATGTCAGTGTCATTTTCCCCTAAGGCAGGTATGAGTCTACTTAGCAGTGTTCCAGCATGGTTTGGGGTAGCCAAAATTTCAATGTAGCATTAAAATATAAGTATGAACAGGCTTCCTTAAATCTGACTGCTGGAGTATCTAGCCATTCCTTTTGCCAACCATGGCCCTGATTGAGTTGACAAAATATAAATTAGTATGAAACCTCCTGGGGCCTGTGTGGGTCTCACTGTACTTTTTTTTTTTTTTTTTTTTAACAAATAAATCAGTTCCCAAAGTGCTTCCAACCAGACTCCACTCTCTGTTTTTTCACCCTGTCATGGACTCTTCAATAATCCCCACTTCCTGATGTGGAGTTTTGTGTAAAAGATCAGACAACTGAGCTCTTCTAACTTGTGTCTGGAATCAAATATAAGCAAATATTTTCATACAGAGACATAATATAAAAAGGAATACTGAAATGTTAGGGAAAATACAGAGTTGGGGAGTGGGGAAATGAGGAGTTTGGTTTTCTTTTTGCTTGCTCTTATGTGTTTTCTTGTTATCTGCATTTGCTTCAAAGCCCTTGGGACAGTTCTAAGTCCCCTGAGATGCAACATAAGCTGTTAGCTGCACCACCTTCTAGCTGGGGCAGTTTGATGCTCAGTTTACCAGTAGGTCCTTGGCTCCTTGGATTTGAGGAACAGATGTTTCAAAGCAAACCTTGCCAACTGGGAAGGAAAAGTGGCTTTTGGACATCCAAATGCAGTCACGCCAGTACTGTAAAAAGTGTTTGGTTTTTCTTGAGTTTGTTTGAAGCTACACCATTTTAACTATGAGGTTTTGTTTTGTTTTGTTTAAGTACCTTCCCAACAGTTTTCAGAAACAGTAGTTTCACTTCTGGGAGCAAATTTCTTAGAAAGTATATTATTTATTCTTCTGCAACATGGTTATGATGGCTGAACTGAGAAAATACCCTGGAGAGGTCAATTCCCACTGGAATCCCTCTTTCATGAAAGGTCAAATGTTTATTCTGTACCCTGTTTTCAGCTATTTCAACAGCAAAGTGGGTGTCTCTCAGGCCACCTGAGAGATCCAGTCTGAAATGTAGACCTCATTTCCTCTATTAGAGCACATTAACACACTGCCTTCTCTTGCCACCTTTTTTTCCTGATGTAGTGCAAGTCAACTTTACATGTCAAGTAATTTGTCATGAAGTGGTTGCTCAGGCTTCCAAGCTGATGGGAGCACAGGCCGCCATTGTAAGAAAAGGCCTTAATGCTTGCTGGCAGGTGTGCTGCTTCCCTTTCCCAGATGTGCAAGTGTGCCTGCTTATAGTTGTTACTCTTCCAGGAAATTGTGTTCCTGTAAGAGGGGCCTGCTTTGAAAATGCAGATGTCTCAGAGTTGCAAGAAAAATTATTTCTGCTTCACAGCGACTATTCAACTAGCATTCACTTAACTGCTACTTTTTTTAACGTAAACTATTATCAATACTCAATATTTCCCCTATAACATATGTTTAAGAGACCAGTGATCAGGATTAACTTCTGATGCAATCTTCCATCTTGAGAAAATTAAGAAGAACCAAAGACCGAGCCAGTGGAAAGGAAATAAATTGCTCACTTTTTGGAATTATGTTCCCTCTTTCTGGCTCCTAGAGATAGTTTAACAAATTACCTCATGAGTATGTTGAATCTTGTGCCCTAGTAACCAGAAAAACTGAGTCCTAGTAGCCAGAGCATGTGAAAACAGCTCTAAAATCTGAGCATTGTACTCTATTTCATATGAAGTGTCATGCCCAAATTTTGCAGTATAGTGAGAACACATCAATAACATTTCTAATGAAGAATAAATTTTTGTTTGACTAGATTGGAGAATGAATATAAAGTTATTTCATATAAGGAGGTTTCTAGTAACTTGAGCATAAAATATATGTCCTTCCTATATGCCTACCTAATATCTAGTATTGTTTGATAGAAACACTTAGATTATGAAACCTGAAATTGTTCCTTACGTTATGTAATATGCCAAAGGATCAAGTTATCTGCTGCTGACATGCATGGTTAAGTTCAAGTGTACTTTGAGACAGCATTATTTTACAGGTGCACCCAAAAGGAAAATTCTCTTCTCTTATAAATGTTGGCTTTTCATTCCATTATGTGACTTGCTCAGGTACATACATAAAAAGACTATTTGTAATTTTCTCTCATGTCCCAAGTTTCATTAAATTTTTTTTTAATTTTCATTAACTTTATTTCTTGACATATTAAAAACATGTATTGTAAATCCTGGCTTTTCAACCATTTTCACGTTCAAATCACACAGGGAGATGTTTTAACTGGCTTCTGTCTGGTCCTACCCACCATGATTGGGTTTAATTTGTGGTGGCAAGGCCCAATCAACCAATATTTGCAAAGTTGCCCACCAACTCCTAATGAGCAATCCCATTACATAAGGCCCATTCAAGCACACAAACATTCTTGAGTCTTCATAATTGACATTTGCTCTTGTCACTTTCTACCTGCAAATAAACAAATAATAAACATGCCAAGTTTTCTGCATTTACTGCTGTTAGGATAAAATATTTTCCTTTTTCTATCTTCCAGTCGACTTTCCAGACAGTACAGCTGACAGCAGCTGCAGAAATTGACACCCATAACCCTCAGATATATGTGATCGAAGAAAACACTGTCACGGTAAGCACCGCACCCCTCCCCATGGTTGGCAACCTATTTCTAAAAATGCAGAATATTCATTCTTCTTATCCATGTGCATATGGAGGTATCTTACTGAAACTCTGAGTCTGATGATTATTATGTTGAGCTTTAGAAAAGGTGTTGGCTAAATTTCAGAGATATACATTTCCTCCTCCAGGCGCCCATGTTGGCAAGGCTGGGTTTCCTAGAAGTGATGATCCACAGAAAGGCACAACATGGGTGCTCATCTTGTTTGGGATATCACGCTATCCTTTCTCCATGCCCACATCAGCAATACCAGTTTTCCTTTCTCCTATGTTTACACAAAACCATCTAGACCTTAGGTCATATAATCCAAGTCATGTCTATTAAATCATAAATTGTATTTTGGAATACTTCTTATAGAGGACTGTTGAAACATAGCTACTAAATAAGGTATTTATTAGAAGACTTTTTATAGTATTTAATACAACCAGACACTGTCACTGTGTGGCATGTCCATTCATAGTCTTATATTCTAGAAAACTATAAATGCTCCCCTTGATAAAAATGATTCTTCAGAGAAATGCATTTCCACAGAAAACAAAGGTTCTCTGTTCCAAGAGCTGGCATGGATAACTCTCCTCTGCACTGAAACTCTGGTTAGCATATGCCATTTTTAGATATAGTAAGATTTTTATGCTCAGCTAATCTTCTGGCAGAACCCTGAGCATTTTCTTCCCAAAGCTTTTGTTAGGAGTTGGAAGCCAGATCACAACTTTGCCCCCAAGGCAGCTGGACAGCTGGCCTGGGTCCATTGCTTCAGCCCACAGACTGGTGAAAAAACCAATGGCCCGTGAACTCTGGGCCTCTCAATGCCTGAGATAGAGCTCACAACACTGCTGTGGCACTCTTGTCCCAGGGGAAATGATTCCACACAATAGAGGATGCTTTTTGCCACTGACTTAGGAACTTCAGTGAAAGTCCACACCTTCTTTTCAGAGGCCAGGCATGGAAAATTAGAAACAGAGCCAAAGGAAATGCAGACTTCAGATTCAGACTGCTATGAACTTAGCTTAGGGGGAAAGTACTATAGATTTTTCTTAAAAGCTCACTTTAGAAAAATGCAGTGTTCAAACAATATGTAAAACTCTGCTGAAGTCTTTGTGTTTTAGAAAGCAGACTTAAGCATATTAATTGAAAGTTCAAATTAACAACTTTTATGAACATATTAGTTTCCCCTTTCTTGGTTTCCCCCCAGCAGCACTAATAAGTAACAGAGATCAACTTTTACATGTGTCCACGAAAGTTTTCTTGAATCCAAACAATAATGGGATAATTTTGGAATAATGTTTTAAGCCCAAATAATAAATCAACACATCCCTCTAGGTAAATAAGTGACTATTATATTTATTTAAATCCCAGGCCACATAAAAATCTAATATGCACAGCTTTGCACTCATGAGTCAATAGAGATCCATGGGCCCCAGGTTAGGGAACTATGGAATAGAGAAGTAGGCATATGACTGTGATTATGCTGTGTACTATATGAATTTTTAGGTACTTTATTCATAAATTTGTGAAAATAAGAACCCTGATTTTAGCTTTTGAAGACACAAATGAGGAGAAATACAGTCACCAAGGCCAGTTTCCAGTTTAGCCCAACCCCTAAGTTGCATGACAAGGAGCAGCTAGCTCATCTGCCACCTTAACTTAATATTATGATGCAAATAGATAATACCCCTTTATTTTGCTCTAAAACATAGCTAAGGATATTTTGTGAAGGAAATTGCTGATTCTTTCATCCATTAAAAAAATTAAAAGGAAGTAGAATATGAAGTGTTACAATAAAACTCTTAGGACAGCTGTTCCCATGCAGTATGACAAAGATTGCCAGGAAAATGGTCATAAAGAGTCATAAATGCCCTCAAGGACAATTTCATCACTGCAAGGTCACCTTGAGCCCTGAGGTATTATATCTCGTCTTCCAACAACTGACACCAATCTTGCCTGAGATTTAAGAGAAATCAATTAGTTTAAAAACCTGATGCCAACTTCTTGTTGTTGAATCAGGAAAGCTCAATGGATCATTCTCTGACTTCCTGGCCCAAGGCTGCTTTCAGTTGGTGGGAATGAAAACTAAATGAAACTGAAATTCTGGTTTCATAAATCATTAAGAGATCTGAGATTGTCATGTATTATGCAACCATAAAATACTGAAGCAATCAAAAAAGAGAAACTAGAATAATTTGGATTTTGCAGATTTTTCTCTAAAAACTGTCTATACACTGCTTGAGGAATGTCATCATGTCACTTCTAAAGCTGAGGACCTTCATTTATAGGATTACAGAATTGAACTAGACCATCTCCCCGTTTTCAATGCTAAAATTGGATACTCAATTGTGAACATGTATTTACAGATCCCCCTTATGATAACAAAACCTGACGAGAAAGCTGAAGTACCCACAGGAGTTATAGTAGGAAGTATAATTGCCGGAATCCTTTTGCTGATGGCCCTGGTTGCTGTTTTGTGGAAGGTAAAAAATAAATAAATAAATAAAAATAAATCATATGTTAAAATACAGGACTCTTAAAGCTTTCTGTCTTCAATTTCCTTACAAAATAGCAACTTTAAGCATTATATGGCACTGCCTCTGTCATGGGGAAAAGAAATGCAAGGCTGTTTACAGTTTCTCACTCGGTCTTTGAAAAATCTGATCTTATTTTTTTTTTAACTTCCATTCATTCAGGGTGCTGAAATTTTGTTCAGCTTCAATAAGTCTACTCTGAGAAATTTAACTTTATACTTCAATTGAACTGTCAAGAACTAAATTTCCTCACTAAAGGGGTGGGAGATACCAGATCAGCAATACGCTTTCCACACTTTCACTCTCCAGAGCCTTGGGGACTCCCAGAGGTGCCTCAGAGGAAGTGGGCAGCTTAGGGGCCAAAGGTACCATGCCAAATAAGCCATGGGTAGAAAAATTATTTTTTTACTTATGCATGTTCATTGGGTACAGTGTGATGTTACTATATGGGATATTCATGGTATAATATTCAAGTCAGGATAATGATCATACCCAAGGAATGGTAACATTTTTATGTTGTCGCCTTTACAGCTTGGCTTCTTCAAAAGAAAATATGAAAAAATGGCCAAAAATCCAGATGAGATTGATGAGACCACAGAACTCAACAGCTGAACCACTCAGCAGATGCTTCTGTAGTGGGAACTGGCGGCATCCCAGCTGGGGTTTTCTGTGATGGTGAATGGGGTTCTTCTTAAGTCCGAGTTTCTTAATATGTAATAGGTAAACTAGCTTGATATTTGAAGAGAAACTGCTGGTCAGTTTGAAAGGAAGAAATTGTGGGTGGGGGCTTAGGATATAAAGGGTAAAAAACTTATTTTCTACGGGGAAGAAAAAAATCAATCTTTAAACTGGCTGGTCCAGGGTTTACATTCTAATGTGTATTATGTCACAAAGATGATGAAATGCTTCCAGGCATGATAAGTCTTAAATAAATTCTAATATTTTCTCAGAATTTGGGGGGTGGGGAATGCTATCTTTAAAATGATTGATTTAAATAGCAACCCTAAAAATGGAAGTACCCAGTATATATATTATATATAATTATATATTATACAAAGATTATATCATATATAATAATTATATATTATCTATATATCACGTAATTTTGTATAGTATTATATAATGTATAATACTGTATAATATATTATACATATTATATATAATATATATTATATTAGGTACTTCCATGTGTGTATGAGTGTGTGTGTGTGTGTGTGTGTGTGTGAAATTATCATGTTAACAAGAGGGCAAAAAAGCTAACATGTTGTTTTTCAATTTATGCTGCTCATCCAAAGTTGCCAGAGAAGATACTTTTAAGTGATAATTTTATTTGTATAAACTCGGTAAATTATGCCATTGGTTCTTTCCAGTCTCAGACTCCAGCTGCCTCTTCAGAATCCTATCTCACTTTAATTGTCAAAACACGGCTGAGTAACTAAAAGCTTAGAATATACCTCCTACAAAGAAAATCTCCATTTAAATCGGAGAAGGGAACAGTGTAAAGGCCAAGGCACAAAACTTTGCTTATATAAATGATTATATTACAAGTTTCTTTTCTGCAATCATTAAAAGAATTATTTATTAAATTGTAAAAACAAACATTAAAATGACCAAGTTTGAACCTGGGCTGGATGGTGTGAGCATATGAGGGACATGGGGAACTGTCCATCAAGCTCCAGCTGTAGTCCTGGGGCCATGATCCTCTTAGAGAGCAGTGGTCCTGACAGTGCCTCTGGAGATGACTCTTACCTCACTAGCTCCACGTTTCAGACTTAGAATTTGTCTTTCACTTTTTATATTGAAGTGTTGCATTGTGGGTACTGGGCTTCCTTCCTCTTTTCTTTATTTTTTTTTTTTTTTAATAACAAATGTTTGGTAACACTGTTGTCTGCTGGAGGCCCAGCCTGTGCCAAAGGAAGGAGGAAATGTCCTTTCTTTTAGGATGCACAACAGTTAGTACCTAGTGAATTTTTGAAAAAGGAGCAATTTCTTTAGCATCCTTCCTCTCCCCTTTCTGAAACATTCCCTCACCCTTTGATTCCCAGTCTGGTACGGGTCCCCTGCAGCTACCTTCCTCTTCCATTGTTGTTATCCATCTTACTTCACCCTTCATCCAAATGTCCCATGCCCTGGTTAGCTGCTCCATACCACATGTTAACAAGAAAAAGTCATTTGTTCAGTTTACACATCTGGGTGAATTACTGAACAAGCTCAACGTCAGGGAACTATTTTTGCTTATTGCTAAGTAAGAAAGAAAAATAGTGTTGAGTAAATTTCTAAATGTTGGAATTTCAGGCAGTATAAACAAGGTAGAATAAAACAACATTTTGGAAATTTGCAAGAAATCACAGAGACGTTGGAAATGACCATACTAGAAGGTGCACCCTCTGTGCTTGTCTTGTTTCTACAAGAGTCATCTTCATATAGGCAACCTTGTTCAAAATATTATTAAGCCCCAGTTTCTGAGGTTCTTATCTGATCAGATTGGAATGAGGTCCGATAATCTGCATATTGATAAGTACTCCATCATTACACTGTAAATGGACCACACTTTGAGGAAGCCCACCCTTTTCTACCTTTTGTTCCCTTTTTTCTCCATTTCTGAGCCTGCATATTCTCTAGACTTCGAAGACTTGGATGAAAAAAGCATAGGCAAGAGCAGTGAGGACCATTACATGCCCAATGCTTTGGACAAAGTCTTCAACCTCTATGTCTTCAGTGTCCTCATTATAAAATTGGAAGACTGGGCTGGAGCTCAGCAGTGATGCTTTAGATTTTAAAACTATATGATCCAGACTTCCTACAATACAAATAGACAATCTTCCATGAATTTGACTTGGAGGAGATGTCAAAGGAAAATAGGAATTTGTCCTTGTGCATATGGTGGCCTTGGCTGCCTTACTGACCTGGCCAGAGATAGCTCTGGACTATTTAATGACTTACTTTGTATTTGACAAAGTAAAACAAACAAGAAAAAATATTTAGCCATAAAATGTCAGGGGTTTATAGCAAAAACAGCATGGTTTTCTCTAGTGAAGCATGCCATAGCATCTGATTCTTTTAACAGCTGTGTGGACTGTTTCATTCCAACCAAATTTTTATTAAAAAAAAAAAAAATGGAGGAACTAGTCCTTAGGCTGACAAGGAGTATTTAACAAACCAAGTAACTACTGCATATATGCACACTATTTTTTTCAATGTGATTTACAAAGAACAATGGCACATCATTCCTTTGATTTCACTCGCCTCACCTTCCTTAGATAAGGGTAAGCTAAGGTGATATCACACATTGAGCTTGAGAGCTCTAACTAGCCTTGGCTTAGGTAACCAGCCTAGATTACAGTCTCCATGGAGTTGGTAGATTACCAACTAAAAATTAGCCACTTGTCTCCACATATATCACTCTAGGGCAGGGTTTTCAGCCTTAGTACTATTGTTTGGAGCCGGATGGTTTTCATGGGAGTGAGGTGGTGGGCTGTCCTATGTCTTGTAGGATGTTTAGCAGTATCCTTGGCCTCTATCTACTAGGTGCTAGGTAGCATCCTCCAGGCACAGCCATGACAATCATAAAATGTCTCCAGACATTGCCAAATGACTCCCAGGAGGAGTGAATTTCTCAAGCACTTCTAAACAAACTGAGTATACATCCAAGAAATTAAGGGAGAAAAACAGAAGTTGTGTGTTCCATTCAACCACACTTTTGCTTTAAAAGTAAGTATAGGCTTAAAAGATGTCCTGTTAAAATTTCCATTTCATAAATGGTACATAGACAGGTGTATAAAGTGTCATGAAAACTAGAGTTTCATGCTTGGCTGCCACATAAGCTTTATAAAACAGTAACATAGAAAAATAACTTAAGGAAGAAACTTCATTGAGATTTAAAATGTACTTTACTCATTTTAGCTGTAAACTGAGAACTCCTAACTGGACAGAAATCTTTCCAGCTAGAAGTGTTATTTTTATAAAAATAGTGAAATATATCTATTAACTGTGAAAAGTAAATAAAACAAAGAAATTTATTATAATTACACAAGTGATTATAGATTACTTAAACTGAGCTTTCTGATTCCTCCTTAATATTTAAATTTGTATAAACAATTATAGTATTATACCCAATATAATACATTCAGGACTATTCACTTTAATCAGTTTGAAAAATTAAAACATCTAGAGGTGAAAGATAAGAATGGGGGTAAAGTTTGAAATAAATAAAAATGTTAATTACTTCTTTGAATTTTAAATAAAAATGTAGCCATTATGTAAATATAAAAAGTATCATATGTACTTGATTCATTTTGGCAGATGAAGTCAAAATATAAATGTATATATTGCACGACTATGTTGAAACTGTATATTTTTTAAAAAAGAAGTTGTCTTAGTTCCTTTATATAAATGTTTGCTTTTTATAATTAAAATGTTTTGCCTTTTTCCTCTCCACCAAAACTATAAAAATGAATGTATACATTTTGTACATCAAGTTGCACAATTTATTTGATTTAATCAGAATGGTAATCAACAAAAACTAATGGCTTTTTTCATATCAAAGCATGAGAACAGAACAGAAAACCACTTTTTTCATACCACATTATAGAATATCATTTATTAAAGTTGTTTTGAATATAAAGCTATTTTGTTTTGGTGTTTTACACATTATGCATTTCACAGTATTTGTCTTATGGACTCACTTTGCCTCAGAACACATTAAAGGTTCAATTTAAAAAGACTAAGAATATTAGTAGCCACAGGTGTCTAGTCTTATAAGAAAAAAAAACCCAGCCAAACTGCTGCAACATCCAAAAGCAGAGTCATAAGTATAATTAAAAAGAAAGAAAAAAAAAAAAACTTTGGAGTAACCAGGAGGGGTTAAGTATTTTTATTATAAAAGTTAAATATGCTGAAGCATTAAAAAAAGATATGCATTAGTCTAACAGACTGCCATCATTGCATAAAATGGTGCACTAGTACAAAGTTTGGGTAGAACATCCATTTGTGCTGCCATTTATATCAGTGCACAGAAGTCTCCTGTTCCTGTCAGACATGCTGTCACATGCCTCTATGATCATCTCATGGTAAGGAAACAGCTATGGACAACTTACTGCAGAACAACTATCGACACATGTGGCATCTATCTCACATTAAATACAATGTTAGAAAAAAAAGAGCATTAGTAGTTTTTAACACAGCAAGTTAGCAAAGATCTGTATTAAAGCTACCATTTTGTCCTATGATTTCACTGGAAAATAATCTCATATATACTCATTTTTAAGGGTAATTCCTTTTACTTATTCTATATTACCTGTTAAAAACTACAAACAGCATTTAAAAAAAAATCTTCTCTCATCCTACCATAACTCTTTAATTTTAAAGTAAAATATTAATGAAAGATTGGACATCATCTTACACAAAATAGGGCCTATTTTCACTGAAGGACAACTCCCACCTTACATTAAGGAAAATGGCCACTAAACTGAACTTTTTCACGCAAAATAAAACTGAAGATTCAAATTTGTTCTTACAATAGCTCTGACTCTATCACCCTCTGCTGGATGATACGCCTAACTACAGCCAAAGTTCATCACTGCTGTAAGAGATCCTAATATTCTAGATGTCATGGTATGAAAGTAGGAAAAGGAGTGGAAGAGACAAGTTCATCTACCCACTCAGTAATTTATACAGATGTTTTTTCACATTTTTAAAATACGACAATTATACATGTTTCAGGTATGTTTAATTTGGGACAGAATATATAACACTGGTAATTCATTCACCAAACATTTGAGTGGCAGACGTAGTACATCAAGTATCATCACTAAGTACCACAACAAAATAAAAGTCAGAGTAGGGGCCAGTTTTCCAGTTTTTAAAGAGGCGGCCAGAAAAACTCTCTGTGGGAGGTAACATTTAATCAGAGACTAAAATAAAGAGAGGAAGCTGACCATGGGGATGTCTGTAGGAAGAGTAATCTAGAAAGAACAGGTGAAGCTTCTCAAAGGTAGAAATATTCTACCAGAACCAGTCACCACAAGATTTGAGCAAGATGGGGGGTGAGGGGCAGGCTAGGGCCCCACTGCTCAGGACTTCAGGCCATGGTGAAGACTGACATCTGAGGATGTGGTTAACTATGAGAAGGCCCTTACAGATCTACTTTAGGGAGGGAAGCATGGCAGCAGGACTGTCAGCAGGCCAGCTTTCTTAATCGCCAATTCTCAAAAAATACTGGAAATATATTGGGACTCTAAACATCATATTCAAAAGACAAAAATATCCACAGAATACTTCACTCATTGAATATCAGCTGTTCCTTTCAAATATGATGAAATCTTTTCCATTAAAAATACTTGGAGCATAAATATGAATTTCCCACTTCTTGAATGAATTCACCTACTAATCACTTAGTCAAAGCTTCAAGGTGACCTTGAAAATCTTGCAGGCAATCCACTTAAAGGCTGATTTTTTGTTTTATTTTGTTTTAGGTTACTCTTCTATTAGTTGTGTAGTCAAGTTGCAAGGGCTACATGTCAGAATAATACCAGCCCCTTAATATCTCAACTATCAATTAATTCAGCCACTCCTAAGGAAGTAAGGATTAATGAAGATTCTACTTAGGTCCAATATAATGCATTATAAAACTTTAAAAAATGTTTCAGATTCAGCATGCTCCAGGTGAAATATTTCACTTCTACATATATCTCATATTAACATTATACATTAAACATAATAAACATTATGTTAACAACATAGGTATAAAATCTAGAAATATCTACAATGGCCCACTAACTTTAGTATGCTTTCAGATACAGTGCAACTGACTTCATCCAATACCTGAACCCTGATCTCCAGCGGGGCCAGGTGACAACTCTAGGAAAGGAGAGGAAGGCATTGAGCTGAAAGGATAGGACTGAGACCAGAAAGACTAACCTAACCAGTGAGGAATTGGTGGACATTTGTCTTTCTTACCAGTGTCCTTCTAGCACACTCTCTCCATATAGGCCAAGGAATAGGAGCTAAATAACAGGAGATTCCTAAAGTGGATGTGGCTATCTTATAGTTCCCAGCCAGAGAGTACATGCAGAATCTTCCTTGTGATATTTCTTGGAAGACAAGGATGGATGTCTGGCACAGAACAGATATTCAATATGTATTTATTGAATAAACGAGTTTCTTAGGTAAAAATTGTTTTCAACAGATAGGTTTTTCTTTTTGTCACAGAAAATAGGAAAACTTTTAACCTAATTGTCTGAAACTACAGTTTTTGTTCTTATTAGGCAAATGCTAATTTTATGATGATGCCCATTGCCCAAAGTAGGCCAATATTTTATTACTTTAAGAACTGTAATAGCTCAATAAAGCTGGAAAATCTTTCATAAAAAATTGTATGGGGGACTGGGGATGTGGCTCAAGTGGTAGCGCACTCGCCTGGCATGTGCGGGGCACTGGGTTCGATCCTCAGCACCACATAAAAATAAAATAAAAGATGTTGTGTCCACCGAAAACTAAAAAACAAATATTATAAAATTCTCTATCTCTCTCTTAAGAAAAAAAATTGTATGGGATTTATACTCAAATCTATCAAAACACCATATGTAGGTTGACTAATCAAAAATTTGATCATTGTTTAGTATAAGAAGGAAAACTATCCTGAAAATGCTTTAATAAATAATCATATAATTTCTCTTACATTAATTTCCTTAATATAATTTGTTTAAATAACTATGGGTCAAATTTTAAAAATCAACTAACATATTAACACAAACCAATGAGGTGTTGCTAGTTAGGCGGGTAGCTAGGTTCAATAATTTTATATTGACTTGTATATTAATAAATATTAATAACTAATAAGACAGAATATTATGGTATAATTACAGATTCCAAAATACTAAAAGTCTTTGCAATATAAAATATTTTAGGTATTATTTAATTTTTAAAAACAAAAAAGTACTATTTTTTTACTTTTGAAAATCATGGGTTTATTTAGGTTTATTTTTTTAAAATATGTATGTTCTGAAAATATATAACATACAATATCAAAACTGACAATGACTTTCCAGTTCGACCAATATTTCCAAAATATACCCTGATATTAACACCATCAATGCAATGGCATGGAAGTAGTGAGGAGGGGGCCATACTTCAATGAGATTTGAGTTTCAATTGAAAATTAGTCATGAAGGGATATGATATATCTCCACAGTCATCTCTCAATTATCACAGTTCTTCCCTATTGCTAGCCCTAAGTAATCCCTCATCCTACATATCCACGTATTTTGCTTTCTTTTTTGCCATTTGTCCCATAAACTTCAGTAAACTGTGGAGAAGAAAGATCAAAATGTGATCAACAATAGAAGTTTACTAAATGTAGGATTCAGTGCTCGAAAAAACGTAAGTGATTAACTGTTGGTTGCCCAAAAGCATTCTTTGTTTCTTTTCCAAGATGATGATGATTCTTCATATAGTTCCTAAAAAACAGAACCAAAATAGGTACTCCAAATAGATCATTTTAATAAATAAAAATATATTTGAATAAATTAGACAAATGAATAACATATTTATTTCAACCTGCTCCACTTTTAATAATCCAATCAACATTTTTATGTAAGGCACTGAGAACAGAAAAGTGAATACACATGTTCCCTACACTTAAGAACTCCCAACCCTAATTGGAGGAATGAGAGCCCAGAAGCTCTATCAAGACAAAGTACAACTACAGGAGGAAATAAGTAATTAATTCCACTCAGGCCATAACAAGAGACATCAGTTTATGCAAGGGAACATAGAAAGTTGTTACTTTTAAACATTTTTTATTTCCAACACACCTACTACCTTACATTGCTAAGCAGTACACTTTTCCAAAGGGAAATGGGATATTCCATTAGTTGTGAAAGCAGCTAACGCACTCTGGTATGAAAGGCTCAGTACAGTATGAGCCTACCTGCCGGCTACTTTCTTATATCTCAGATGATCTCCAAGCCTAGAGGCTAGATTGAGACTAGATTTCAGATCCCTGTAGAAGGAGGGGAGAGAACACACTGCTTTCTTTTCCCACCCTAGTCAGAACCCCTATGGAGGGGATTCCAAAGTCAACTGACTTTAAGTTCATTCACTGTAGTTTTCAGCTCCAGGATCTCTCTCTTTTTTCAAAATTGTTTTCATTATTTCAATTTCTTTGTTAAATTTTCTGATAAATTTCTGAATTGCTTTTCTGAATTCTTTTGGAGCTGAGTTTCCTCAAAACAGCCATTTTGCATTCTTGGTCTGAATGGCCTCTCAGCTCCATCTAATGAAGACTGGGCACTTGTATCCTGTTGGTTCCATTTGGTGAGCTTATCATTCCCTGTAAGCTCTTAACTCTCATGGACATAATCACTGAATACACACAATTCCCCCAACCCTCTACAGAGAGAGAAAAGCAAATAGAAAACCCAGCTGGTCCTTAAAGCCTAAAAATGACAGTATGTCTCAACTCCTGCCCTTTGCCTTTACTTCCTGGGGCTACCCCCTCTTCTACTTTCTGTTGGCTCACTGTGAACTCCTTTATCCTTGGTAAAGAAAGCCATCCCTGCTGCCTAGGCTGGAAGCTCATTTTGAAATGCCTTTCCTACCTCTCCTTCTTCCAGGGCCTGCCTTAGGCTCTGTAAAAAGCCTATGATTGCCTTGTTCATAGCAAAGCAACAATACATCTGGGCTTTACTAAGCTTCCTTTCATATATCCTATCCTCTAATCCCCAACTATTTCCTAAAATCTGAAACCTAATAATACATTTTAGATTTTATTCAGAAAATTAGGATATGAAACTCCTTAGGCCCTGGCTCAGAGTCCTACTTGCTCATCTTTCCTACTGACTGAGGCCAGAAGCTCCTAAAAGGACAGAAGACTCACCCTTTAAAGCCTTGGCCCTCTCCTCTCCTCTGCTCTTCTGATCCCCTGAGCTGCTCATTAATTCCTCAGCTTTGCCAATAGCCATACTGCTATGGGCAACTCTGTGGTTAGAAGTATAATTACACGTGTTTATAAATACAGAACAATGCCACTGTTAATGCTCCTAAACCAGGGGAGAAATTAGAGGAGTTTAGAATGCTCTATTTAAATAGAGAAATGCTTGTGCTTGACTTATTGACAAAAAATAAGCTATGATTTTCTATTTATGCTTTTAAATTCACTCACTATGCATTTCTCAGAGACAGCAATATCTAACCCTTTTATTTATTTCTTTCATATAAAGAAGAAGCTTTAGAAAAAGCTCTTTTGCCCTGAGGAATTTCTATTTTAGCCATTGCCTAAGTAGTCAGAGACTATGTACAACTCTGCAAAAGAAAGACCCTCTAATTGAAGGGGATTCTTCCAAGGGAATACTTCACCCATGAATCCCAGAGAACACTGCTGAATCCCAGAGAACACTGCTGAATCTCAGAGAACACTGCCGTCTACAAATTCTAACTGCTTCTGCTTGCTGGGCCTGCTTTGTGCCATGCATTCTTTGGGGCCTGTGTTTGTCAAGCTTAACAAACTTGGAAGGGAGATATACATAAATGTTCTGTTTTACATATAAAGAAAACAAGATTCAATTATTAAGGAAAGTGCATAAGTACAAATTGTGTCTGTTTTCCTATTCCCCATGCTTTATCAAAGAATTCCTAAGAAAAATAATATCCACATGGCAAAATAAGGCAACTTCTTAACCTACCTTTTTCCATATGGGCACCCTGGCTTTTAAAGTGTCAATGGCATAGGTGACAGCTTCAAGGGATGCAGCCCTGTGGGCTGAGGACACAGCAATAATTATGCTTGCTTCAGACACTGGAACCAAACTTAAAAAAGATGATGAAAAAAATTACCATCACCTCCTAATATGCATGTAGGAAAAAATCCAGTTATACATTAGAACATATGGTAGTTCTATTTAAAACATCCAATTTAATTAGAAAACAGTAATTCATTCCAGTTGTGTTCAGCAGAGGGGATGCTGAGGCTGATATTGTGGCCAATTTGTTAGCAACTATCCACAAATCCCCTTTGTAAAGGACTAAGAAAAAAAAAGAGTCCTTTTGTTGACCCAATAAATATCTGACTCTAACAAAGCACACTGCCAGGTAACTCCTAAAGCTACAAAGTTGATTTATTATTTAAATAATAAATAGCAAACGATATTAAGGAATAGGCTGATCATGCTTGTTATTAATAAAAATACTGGTTATTAACAAAAGTATAATTAACAACAAAATAACAACATAACAGATATAGGCTTAACTGCTGATTCTTTTTAAAGTTTTGCACTCTAATCTTTTTAGTTTTATAAAAAGGCAAATTACTTCAATGATTCAGATCTATAACAGATTCTTATATAAACAGAGTGCAGACCATAAGACAACTCTCAAAAGACCTCAAGGACTTTAACATAGGCTCTTAGCCCCAGGGTCTGAAAATCTTGGCACATTTGCACTTTGTTACAGCAAAAGAGACAGTAAGGGCTCTCCAAAATTACAACCCAACAAGTAGCCTTTAAGGTACTGGGAACTATCTTCATTGTCCTCCAGAAAAATATTCAAACCTTCCTCTTATGGTAACATAGGACTCCTAAGATTACAGAAACAGCATTCGTACAAATATGGAAAACAATCATGCTCAACTTCAAAACTGGTAAAGAAAATCATACCCAAGTCTATGGAACACTGCTATGTGCTTGACTGGCCATTTCTGCCTAATGTGACTACAAATTTTTCTGATTTCATTTTCTGCCATTGGTAGATATGCTTCATATTCTAAGCTAATGACTTTTTTTCCTTCAAAGTTATTTCTTGTAGTCCCTAGAAAAAAAAAAAAAGAAGAAACAATTAGGCTTTCCCCGGACAATAGAAATAACACATTAACAGAATTTAAAAGGATTATGGTTGAGTTAAAAGGATTATATTTAAATTGTAAATAAACAGCATAAATTTTTGTCTGAAAATTGCTTTGAAATTTCCTAAGAACAAAACTTGATTAGGAAAATCACAGATAATCATCCCAAAAATGTTAAGGAAATAAGAGAACACTGATTAAGCAAGCTTACTGAAAACAATTGCATGACAAAACAGGCTATATTACTTTTATGAATAATAGCATTTGACATTTAAAAAAAAATTTTTGTTTTTAGAATTATAATCAAGTATATGTTTTACTCAACATTTGGAAAATATACAACTTTCTCTCCTAGCAATGACTTCTATCATACCCTTTTAATGCCTGGTATTTTGATATAGGTTAATCTGAAGGTTATTAAAATAAACAAAATGAACACTAAAACAATTTCTACCCATTTTCATGGGTAATCACGGTTTATCGCTCAAAGTCCTCTGACTATTAATGCTGAAGAGGGACAGCCCTAACTGATTTCTACTGCCACGTGCAGTCAATAGACACTGTTAAAATACAACTCACCTACAAACAGGGATATTGCCCCACAGAGAGGAGATGTCACTAACTGGGAGACATCATCCACAGAAAGTTTCTCAGCAGTAAATTTTATTATATCTTTAGATGTCTCTTCAACTTTGTCCATATCTTTTCTGGAAAGAAGATATTAATAAACTTTAGTACAAATACTAGAAGCAAAACCCTCAACTTATGAACTGTTTATATTTTCTCTACATCAGATGTGTTAGGAGACATGATTGATCTGGGTGATAAAAACAAGCAAATGTAAAATTTTAGTATAACTGCTATATTCATAAATAGCCCTAATGAATCAGGCATGTGTAAAAAGTAATTCAATATAAGTATGGTCACTGTAATGTAACACAGCTCTTCTGTCAATTTATTGCAACTCTGCAATTGCTACCTGTATCTTCCATCATGGTATAGTTGAAATATTACCACCTTTGCCTTCATTCAATTCACCTCTAATCACTATGTAACCAAGCACCACACCCAGACTGCCTTTTCCTTTATCCAAAAAGAAGACAGGGAAAGCAAAAGTGACAGTGACTTCCACAGGAACTTCGTTGCTTTCACACTGAGGTATGACCCCAGTTAAGTAATAGAAGAAATAGAGAATAAACTGTACACCTTTTACCCAGGTGTTGTACAAAGGCTTTTGCATGTATTTTGCATTTAATTCATCAAACAGTATTACATATACAGTGTCAGAGACTGTGACATTAGTTACAGACCCAGGGGTTGGGGGATCACAGGCCCAGCTGGGTGTGCTAGCGCATGCCTGTAATCCCAGTAACTCAGCAGGCTCAGGCAGGAGGATCACAAGTTCAAAGCCAGCCTCAGCAACTGGCAAGATGTTAAGCAACTCCATGAGACCCCATCTCTAAATAAAATACAAAATAGGGCTGGAGATGTGGCTCAGTACTTGAATGCCCCTGAGTTTAATCCCCAGTACCCGCCCCCCCCCCAAAAAAAAAATCATAGGCTTCTGTCATCAGGATGTTGTATCCCAAGGGAAGAAACAAAGTAATAAAGAAGAATCATAAATGGGGATAACTTACGGAAATAAACAGGTTCTGAGACAAAGTGTGGGGGCTATTAGAGAAAAGGGATCCCAAAGGTCTCCTTCAAGAGGGAAGATTTCAAAGGGAGACCTAAAAGACAAGAAGGCAGCCATGTGATGAAATGGGATAGATCCCCAAATAAAGAGACGGGACTAGCAAATGTGAAGGTTCTGGAACAAGAAAGAGTTTGATACATTCAGAACCTCCAGGAGACCTAAGCACAGTGAGCAAAGGAGAGAGGAAGACCTGAGGCTGGACAGGGAGGTAGGACCTTCCAGACCCTGAGAAGTATGATTACAAATCCTGGAGATTTCACCTTAATTGAAAAATGAAAGGAGGCTTAGAGAAATTATGGACTCTTCAAGGTGCTGAAATTCTAACAAAGAACTCTCAGTAAACCTAATTTATATTACCTTATCTCCTTCTAACTCCTGAAAAGTACAATTACTTATATATGCCACTAGTTTCCAGGGCATTTCAAATGCTGTATGTGCCACAGAAGCTTCTTACACCTGTTCTTCTTGCTTTTAAACAGGTAACCAAAATGTGATATCTGTGCTCCAAATCATAGTACACTCTCAAAAACTTTTTACTGTACAAGACTACTAAAACCTAACTAGCAGATTCTAAAATTTCATAACATAAATCCTGACAAAAGTATCCACATAATATGCAATGCTGTTGAGTAATCTTTCTAATCTTTCCAAAGAACAGCTACAGTCATTACACACACACACAAACACACATACACACACACACCTTTCATGGCAGTCTATTGTGTTCTGAATAAATTCCAAGCTCTGAAAACCAGCATTTTAGAATCTTCTAAAATCACAATGGTGATAAGGTAATTACAGTGTGCATATAAAACTGAGATGCATATCTAACAAAGAATTTGTTAGATACCAGATGAAGGTATGAGAAAGGTCCCTAAATGTAGCCATGCTGGGCAATCCACTGTACAGACTAATTCTGCAATTTTTTGTGGCACTGCCCTCTGAGAAAGTTGGGAAAAGTGGGCAAAAAATTAAATAGGAGTTCTTGGCTTGCTCCTTTCTCTAATGGAACCAAGGTTTGCCATTGAGTATGATGTTTACTATTGATTTTGGATAAAATCCCTATCAAAGTTACATCTTTTTTTCTTTCCAAAGAGTTTTTAATCAGGAATGATTGATTTCTACCTCATTTTATTATTCAGTTGGCAATAAAGTAAGCTTCATTCTGTCTCTTTATACATAAGAAAAGCATGATATCTCACACTATATTGAAGAATGTTCTTACACTTCGACCTACTCCAATATGGATTAAGTTACTTGGAAAGACTAAGATTTAGCAGATGTCAATGGATACACCTATACACAGCTATAACAACAGAACTATTCCTTTATACTTCCACAATGGTAAGTTTTCTTTTCAGGCACAGTGATCTTTTGATCTTCTAGCTGTGTAATTTTCCTACATTTCTCTGCACCCCACAAAAGCTATTATCTAGTATTCTTAAGTACATTTGTTAAAAAAAAAAAGTACAGAGTTCAATAATATGAATTCCAATTTGGCTCTGCCACTTATTAGATATGTGACCAAAGGCAAATTTTTTGTAACTTCTCTGAATTTCAGTTTTTCCACCAGTAAAATATGTATATCAATACTTTAGTCTAGCACTGTGCCCAACACACAAAATATCTCAATAAAATATGTTAAATGAATATAATGATCACATGTAAACCGCTTAAAATAGAGTTGATGCAAGGATGGTAGGGAGGTATTTAAAATTATATCAAGAAAGAGCAACAGTATCAACAAAGAATTGGTACAAGCCAGGCATGATGGCGCATGCCAGTAATCCCAGCAGCTTGGAAGTCTAAGGCAGGAGGATCACAAGTTCAAAGCCAGCCTCAGCAACTTAGCAAGTCCCGAAGCAATTTAGGGTAACCCTGTCTCAAATTAAAAAAAATAAAAAGGGCTGAAGACACGGCTCAGTGGTTGCGTGTCCTTGGGTTCAATCCCCAATACAGGAAAAAAGAAAAAAATGAACTGGTGCAATTACAAAGAATATACTGTAACAACAAACCACATACAAGTTATCATCTGTTCGACCCTTCCCCAGAAGACTCATTAAGAAAAACAAATCTCACATACCTAGATAGTTCAAAAGCACTACCCTCCACTAATGGGGGGGATAATGGCAATTTCGTCTCCTGGGTGAAGGAGGAGGAGCTGGTCTCCCAGCTCTACATATTCTTGACGAACTGCGAATATCACTTGATTTCTAACATCAGCCAATCTGGAGGAGAAAAAGTTTGGTGAGAAGTATCAAGGTGTGATAGGCATCAAATCTCTTCAGCTGTATTATTAAAGACATTGCATAAATATTACTATATGAAACATCACCTGCAAAGTTACTAATTAAGTCATACTCTTTGGAGAAAGGATCCAACCACTGAAGAACACACTTATTCGTTGCAAAGAACACATTAAAATGCTAACAACTCTTTAATGAATGCTGTAAACAAACAAAAACTACACTAGTGGCAACATTCACACCAAAAATTTTCTAATCAGAACATGGGCTTTCCATTGGTCTTTGGTCTAAGTATACTAAGTAGAACTAGGACGTTTCCTATAAGATCAAGTTTCTGCCCACAAGCAGGTTAAAGGTAAAATAGTATAGAGGCTACTTACTGATTTCACTGAATGAAGGGCAATTTAGGAAATCAAGAAAGGGAGGTTTCCTTTTGAACACACAATGTCCAAGTCTTTGTGTATACTGTTTTTGTTACTGGCGATCAGACCCAGAGCCTCATCAAGCTTGATGAGCTACACCCACCGACCTCAGAAGTCTTTTTTTAACATAGCCCTAGGACTTCCAAGTCTATATAGACTTCAGTGGCACTACTACTATTTCCGGAACATCCTCAAATAAGTCACTTTCTTTTTTTTTTTTGTTCCAAAAGTGATTTGAGGTGAGAATGACAGCAATAAAATTACTGGTTTTCAAGAATCTGGGAAAACAAATCAAATATTGCAAAACTCAATTCCAGTAGCATTTAGAGTTTGTGGTAACTCATTTTTCTTTTAATCTTAGAAACTTCTATTTTGAGTATTCTAAAGAGAGAAAAGGACAAAAAAGATTACAGCATGTTTTTAAACAATAAAATTTTCATTTAGTGTTATAAAAATGCAGAATCTATAATTGCAATAAAATTGTAGATTACTAAATTTTTTATTATTACAATTGTAGATTATGAAAATAATTATAGATTATATAACCATATCTGTCTGGAAGTATCCCAGTTTACTGTGACTTTTTAATAAATTATCTTTAACTTTCCTTAAAGAATGGTGCATTTCTAAATACTAGAGTTTAAGTTTTCAGGAGTAGATCCAGAAAAATATAACTAAAAATCCCTTTTGATATTGCACATGGAAATCAAAATTAACCATTTTTACTTCTATCATTTATATTTTATTTACATAATACTTCTATGAAATATTTACATTTTACAATATTAAAAAGTATTAATCACATGCATTCTACAAATTTTTAATTACCCAGGATGCCGAGTTTCTATTTCATGCCACAGTTGCAATGCTTTTATTTCTTGCGGCACAGAAATGGTCTCTGAACGAACTCCTGTTATTTCAGCACTTTTTGCAAAATATAATATTTCAACCTGAAAGGAAAGAAAATGATTTTAATAATAACTCATAGTCCTTTTCTGACTGTTCATACTGATGTTTTCTCCTTTTCCAAATGTATTATTAAAAAAAAATTTTATGTTAGATAAAATTTGAAAACCCATAAAAAGCAGCATCTCTACAAGCTCAAATTTTGGAAAATTTTTATGTTTTAAACACAACTCAGTAATGGATGGTTTTTGGTTTTGATTTCCCATTAAGCCCATATTCAGTTGACATAAAAGAATATCATTTTTTTTCAAACTGAACAAATGTCTGAGTCAAGAGATGAATTACACAAATGACTGAATCAACAAATGGCTTGTTTTCAAGGTTGCCAAATGACCTTTGATTCCATTCTACATTACATTGATCCAGCCATCACGGAAGATCAAGTTATGCAACATACAAATCCTGACATTTACATAAAGCAAGCAGGTTTGAAATACCAGATAAACTGGTATTTCCTAAGAGAAACCTGTGCAATAGGCCCGTTACTAAGGGATCTGACCAAGTATAGCCACCTGTCACTCAGCACTGATTATTCTCTATGAAATATTGACAGGTTTTGCCAACAATCTAGGGATTGTAAATCCATCGGTGAGGCGCAATTCTTCCCAAGAATTCTTAATTAAGTGCATTTTTAAAAATTAAAGAGGTATCTTGGTCAAACTAATACTCTGAGAAAGAGAGCTGTAAAAAAAAAAAAAGTTCACGCGCCTTCAGAAACGAACGGGTTCTGAACGCCCTGATCTGTGTACCAACAGTTCGTGAAGTGGACTTGACTTTTGTTGGGGTGGCAGGAGCAAAGCCCTCAAAGAAAAAGACCACCTTGGCGGTAGCGGCCCTGGACCCAAGGCGCAGGCCAGGATGGGCGTCCGTGAGGAGCGAGGAATGGAAAAAGGTCATCCTGATCCAGGCTGGGTCTGTGGCGGGAGAGGTGGGGCAGGCACCCTGGCAAGTTCGTTCGCCCACTCTTCCCCCTTACCTGGCATCGCGGCACCATCCCGGCAAGGACACCTTGCTCAAATTAGACCCGCTAAGGCGGAGCCGGACCGACTCACGGCGCAGGCGCAACCGGATGGCATCCCGCAAAGAGCATGCGCACGACTAGCTCCGCCCCGTTGTTCCGCAGCCCGGGACCCCTGTTCCTACAGCTTACTGCTCCGCAAAAAGTTAAGTTTCCTCCCGCGAAGACTAAGTGTGGATGTGCTAAAAGAGGTGTCCCTACGTGACCTTCTCTCCGGAGAAAGGTCGTGGAGCAGCAGAGCAGACGCTGTACTCGCCCGGACACTTGCCATAACCCAGCAGAGTTCAGGTTTCGCTTTGACATCTTCATACCGCTATTCAGTTTATGATCAGTGTTTCTTACAAACTCAGAGTATTACCTTATCAGAGCCTTCGAACCGTATCAGATTAGTAGTTACTGCTCATTAGCTTCCCAGGTGACCCAGACCAGTCCCAGGAAATGTAACATCTGTGCCTAGTATTATACTTGGTATACGGAGTTATCATTAATATTTAAGACTTTCCGTCCGGGACTGTAAGCTGCAAGGGGAGGGACACTTACATCACCTAACTGTAAGCAATTTAAAGCAGAGTCCTTGTGGGAATGAAGTTGGGAATGAATAACATGAGGATAAATTACTGAGAGGCTAATGAGCAGTAACTACCAATCTGATAGGGTTCGAATGCTCTGATACGGTTCGAATGCTCTGATAAGGTAATACACTAAATTTGTAAGAAACACTGAACATAAACTGAATAGCGGTATTAAGATGTCAAAGCGAAGCCTAAGGTGAACCTGAACTCTGCTGGGTTATTGCAGGTGTCCGAGCTAGTACAGCGTCTGCTCTGCTGCACCACGACTGTGCTAAGTCTCACCGAGATGTTTGTGCCAAATCTACTAGAATTGTACAAGCAAATGACCTTGTCAGGATGAGAGTGAGGTCATTTCGCTTACCTGTGCCAAGCATATAAAGCAGCATTATGAGTTCGAAGAAGGAAAAACAGTTTGCAACTCAGGTGTACCCTGGGCAAGAAAGGAGGTGGTGGGAAGTGAGACTGGTGATACCATTGCAGGAAAAATTGGCAAGCACTGACATATACACATACACACACACAAACACAAACTCACACACATACTTTTATTTTCCGGGTAAAATTGATAAACATCAAGGATGTAGAATTACATCCACATCCATACCGAAAAACAAGGGAAAGATTGTTAGGGGCCAGACTGTATGGGCAATAACCAAACAGATTCCATTTTACCGTGAGACTCCATGTCATGTAAGAAATGCTTCTCCCATGGGAAAGCCCCACTTCTGCTCCCATTAATAGTTACCTAGCATAACATACTTGGCAACACAAAATATCAATTCTTATAAAACGTAAAATTGTTCTCTTTGGTTTCCATTTTTCATGGGTGATATAGCTTGTCAGAGATTGATTGTCTAGATGTTAGTAACCATTCTCTAACTTGTACTCAACTATGGTCATTTTGACCCATTTCCCTTCTGCTTGTTTGCTACTGTGCCAACCTGGAAAGTCCTGTGGGAAATACCAGTGTACCCATCGCATTGTCTCGTTAACTGCCCAATTCAGCTTCTGTACCTGCTTGCTTACAGCTACATCAATCCTGATGTAGTTTTTGTCTTTGAATATCCTAAAATGCTCAGGCTTGGGGCTGTTCCTTGCAGAGACAGTTATGGGTCGGTCCTGCAGGGAGCAATCACCAGCTTGCTGGCTAAATAAAGTGTCTTCAATTTGGACAAAACTGGGACTTGGTGTGTTTTCTGAGTGACCTGCCCCACAACAAGATGACAGTGATCTTAGACCATTTTAATTACAAATTCATTAATTAAACCAATGACATAAAATAGTGTTGTGCAATAGCAAAAAAGAAAAAAAAAAGAAAAAAAAAGCCGAGTACAAAAACATAGACACAAATTGGTGTTTATAAAGGCCAGAGACTGATATTCCTAGAAAGCAAAGAAACAGATAAACATTCCTCTTAAGCAAAAAGTTTATTCAGTCAAGACAGTTGTAAAAACAAGTACTTCAGGAATAAAGACATTAATGGTAAGATCAGAAAGCACATTGAGATTTTAATCCATTCAAATATAAGAAATCAATTGTGGGATTATGGTTATGGAAGAAAAAGTAAATGCTATCAGAATAATATCATTTATTATTTAAAATATATATGGGAATTGCCCAAATTGGATCATATACTTGCAAAGCATTAATTCATGTTTCTCAATATTTTCCATAATCTGTTTTCTTTGTTTTAGAAGGATCTTTTTAAAATCAAGAAGAAATACTAATCTGATGATTTCTAATTCCATTCCCGGCTTCCCTTCAGTTACTTTGTTTTTTATAAACTCAAGTAAATAACCCAGAAAAAGAAGAAAATCCTTGACTATTATGTTGATAATATTGTCCTATTTTCTTTGTATTTTCTGCTTATTAGGAGAATC